GACTAATACTTACATGTTTTATCAAACGGCGTCACGGCAAATTTGCTATCGAATTATAAGTTACGGTCTAACTAAAAATGCTATTAACGCAGCAATACAATATATTATTTTACAACGACAAAACGAGTTCAGGATCAAAGCGTCACTACCTAATTAAGATTTGAAAGACCGCTTCGGGCTATGACGCGATTACAACCGACCGAAGAAGATGTGTTATGTTTTATCTCAATGAACGTAATGTATGTGACTTTTTATTTTAATGTTACCAACCTAACCCCCTCTGGAGCTAAACGGTTAAACGTGTTGCCTAGCATTGCGTTAAGCGCGAGAGGTCCTAGGTTCGAATTCCGGCGAAACAATCAATTGTTTCGGACAGGCAGGGCACAGAAGTCTGATCAACTACTTGTAAATAAAAACGATCGATCAGCGAAACGGGCATAAAAACGTTTTCGCCCCATGCCCCAAGAGCGGAAAATTCATTTCACAAAAAAAAAAACATGTTACCAAAGACAGTGTTGTAAGGAAACTGGCCTGTGTAAGAAGTTGAGAACCAGTAATGCGGACAAATGTGTCAACAAACATTTGAAAAGCATAATTGAGGCTTAACGATGTAAAAGTTTGATCGACCTCAGAGCTAGCGCTGAATAGGTTTGTTATAGACATTCCACCAGGCTAAAACCCTGGCCCTTGTAAAACAAAGTCAAGTGTACCAACCACTAGACATACAAAGCAAGTGCGGGAATGTACGTAGTTAGATTTTGTAATCCTTGTTGCAACTACGTGCAGGTAATTCTTTTGTTTTCTTATATCATCCAGTTTTTATGCAAATAAAACTTGAATTAATTTATAATTGCTGTTACTTGTTCTTATGACAATAAAACTGTTTTCATTGTTCATTACGTATACAATATTAAAAGCTGTTTGATTTATCTTATTTCTTCCAAGTTATGAGCCCAGTACTATGAATAATATTTGTATATAGATAGATTAATACTAGGTTTTAGATACACGATTGTCAAAACTAATTCAATACTGTCTATAGTTTACGCGAGTAGTATATATATTATATAGTTAAACTTATTATAATAAGTAATAATAATTTAAATAAGTTTAACTAATATATCGCGTTTTAAATCGTTAAAGTGTTTTATTTAAAAACTAATTCAATTTGTTTGTCATTGCAGTTGATAAAAAAGTTGTATAATCAGACTTTGTATTTCTGTTGCTGCTGTACACTAAAGGTATAAAAAAATAAACTAAGGGAGTCTATAATACAACAAATGCGATATTTTTGTCAGTGTTCGCTCGTGTATACTAATATTATAAAGCTAAAGTGTTTGTTTGAACGCGCTAATATAAGAAACTACTAGTCCGAATTGAAAAGTTACTCTCGTGTTGCTTAGAGCATATGTCAAGGTAGACTTTAGGAAGGCTTTATAAAACAATAGGAGCTAAGACACAATGGGAAATGTCAAACAAACAAACAAAAACGGTTCAAGATATGTATAAAAGAACACTTCTTCTTTAAATGATGTAAAAAATGTCCGCGGCCATAAATTATTAGCTTTTAGATTAACTTCCAAGAACGACGTATGATGTACGGACACCTCATGAGAATCCGACTAACACAGAGCCGGTTTCATATAGAAATTTCTTTCAACGAATGGGTTTTTTTTTCAACTCAAGAGTTGATTAATGATTTGTACTCGTTCTTTTCCCCTGTAAGGAAAACCCACTAACACAAACAATAACATCTATTGTTAGAAAAATATTTAAACTAAGTAATTACACATAAAACAAATATACAAGATACATAAGCAGTGAGTAAATGTTATACGCTGTTGAATGTATATTTATGTAATGTGCCTGAAACATAAAATATTAGTCATCGGGAGTAATCTTTACGCAAGAACTAAATTAAAACCCCGTTACACCTATGTGGGGCATGGGGCATGTCTCGGTTTGTTTCACTAATCACTTTTGTTTAGCCTTGTCCTGACTGTCCGTAAGTTTATCATTGTGTCTGTCTGTCTGCTACCACCAGATAGTGATGAGCGCAATTCATTTATTTTTACTTTTTTATTACGTCGTAGAGCCGTCTTGGTCCATTATGAGGAAAAATTGCGAGTGGGGTTGGGAGTTCAATCCTCTTGTGTATGTATGTATGTACATTACGCTGATACGAATGCACCAAATTTTAAGCCCTACGTTTTAGTGTCCCAGCTGTGGGAACGGTTAGAAGCCTGATGGATTCGTCATCAGGCTATAGTTAAAATATACATTTTGCTATTTGTTTCGTACAATACGTAATTATTATGAAATAACGACGTATCATAGTTACAATGTTTGAAGGCTTTTACACATATATACTATGTTTTATTATATACTAAATCTACGTCAATGTTCTTGTGTTTCGCGTCAGAACTGACTCATATTATATGGAATTTTTTTACTTGGTTTGACCCCAGAAAAGTTGTGATACGAGGGAGATTATTCTCATTTCAATAACTTAAAATATGATTCGATATAAGTCGCAAGTTATGAAGCTATTAGACTAAAGTCCACGTACATGTCATATCACTTTTCGAGAATTACCCCCTGGTGTACATCTTTAACACGACCATTGACGTAGATCTTTTTGCTCATAGCGGCTAATTATGTGTCCTTTTCAGGGTATCTTAAATACCGAAAAAAGCATATATTGTTGAATACGCATTGCTTCTTAATGTCAAAGCTTTTTCGAGAAATGTTCTTCTATACTAATATATGAAGCTGAAAAGTTTGTTTGTTTGTTTCCACGCGCTAATTTCAGGAACTACTGGTTTTAATTAAAATATTATTTTTGCGTTGGTTAGAATGTTAATCGAGAAAGGCTTATGCTATAAACCATTATGCAAACAACAAGAGCAGAGAAACAATGAAAAGAACTAGTAACTATACATATACGCGGGATTTTAAAATTTACAGGCAATGTCTATTTGGAAAGCTAAGCGGCGCTATTGGTCGTAGGTTCGAGGCCCGGTGAACTATCTATTTATCAGACCCACATACATGTTTAATGTATGTCGTAGGAGAGTTACCAGATTCAACAATTGACTTCTAAATAAACCATTAAGGTCGAGTATTCTAACAAGAACATCGACCGGTTCGCCGTTAGCGGTAAATTAGCAAAAATTGTTTGTAACGGGTTTATAAAAAACTAAAGGTCCAACAGATGATGTATAGAAACCTAGAAAACCATAGGCCCAGTTTCGTATCGAAAACCGAATTTTGTGCATTACTAAGTTTTTTTCATCGATTTTTAGATGATTCTAATGGCTTGCCCGAAACATCTATCTTGACTTCTTAGTACACTAATTTCCCGGGAGAGCTATCAGCGTAAGTCAAAGTATAATTTTACATATATAAGAAGTATTTTTACTTGGGACTGGAGATTAAAAAGCAATAACTGAATAGTTATAAGTAATTGTTGGTAGTGTGAAAAATTATACTACATTTTGTGATTTAATAACCAATTTTATTTACTTGCAGCTGTAGGTGATCAGACTTCTGTGCCTCGACCAAAAATATTTTTGTCATTCTAACCCAGCACCTCGAGACATTGAGGTAAGGAAGTGTAAAGGCTTTAGAGGTAGTAAAAAACATTATTTATAATACAAAAACTTTATTAAATGCTTATTACAAAGCATGTGCCTCAACTATGCTACCTGTACGCTTACATAAGTGAAAAATACTTTGAAAATACTACAAGAAGTTTATTGTCTTAAATATTTAAATATAAGGGTGTATAACTAAATAAAAGTTTTAGCTGAGCTAAAATAATACAGTATTGTTCCTAGGTACTGCATGTAGTTACATAAATAGCTGCTTTGACTTTTTGATCCTGGTTAGATATTGGTGCACAGATGCCAATTTTAATAAAATAAAAAATAAATTGTATAAAGCTTTTCAGGTCTTCTGCCCTTGTTTGGTTATGTAAATGGCAAATTGAAGACCAAACAACTTGTAAACCCAAATAACTTTACCACGAAAACCTAGTTAAGAGTAATAATAAATGCAGTTTGAAAATCTCAACAGAATATTAAATAATAAATTTGAAAACAAACTGGTATTAGAAAATTACAAATTGAATCTTAACATTATGTATTATCATAATATATACTATACTATCATAATCTATTGTACTATCATGAATTGAACTGTAATTTCTCCATATTTGGCCGTATTTATAACATCTAGTAATGATATTTCTAAAGTAAAGCTAATTTAATAAAATCTTCAACTTCAACTTTATAGTGAAGTGAATAAAATTCTATTTTGTTGTTATTGTGATAATGATCCATTTTGAACAATAATAAGTTGTGTTATTATGCAGTTTAACTTTGGGTTATTATATCCCTCCACTACAAGACTATAGTGTCCAAGAATGGTCTATTAAAATAGCCTTATAGTTTCTAAGTTATCTGCTGCTGTGGACTACAAGCTTTTATAGACAAATAAAATAACTTTATATGAACAGAGTTAAGTGAATGGTGGCATTAAGGTGTAATTATGAAATATAAATATTTTATCATTACTAAGTGTAAACACTTTATATCTACAAGATATTAAAATACCATTGCAATACAAAAAATATAGCAAATATGAAATAGAAGTAAAAATGCTACTTTTGAATATATGCTAGAGACAAAAACGATAAAAAAGTTTAAAAGTAGTTGTGCCTTATTTTTTAATCTAATTCATCAACTTTCTGTTAATTGTGAATATAATAACAATTATCCTAAAAAGGGAATGTTAAATTGAATCAATTTCCAAATTCAGTGATAGACATTCCGATATGTGACAATTATCAGAATTTCATATATTAAACTACGTATTCACTGAATGTCAGTCTTTTCTTCTTATTTTATCATGAACACAGATTAGAAATCCTTGTTGGAATTTTGTCACATCTTTGTAGTTGCCTCGAGGGAGCGCAGTAGTGGCGCACGGGCCATATACTAGAATCTATCTTTAGAGGCGTGTAGGTCAGGGTTTGTGAGATACTGCAATTCCTGTAACTCTTGAAATTTTTCATGGTCCCTGATATGTGCGTAATTAGCAGACAAACACATTAAATAATGAACCAAACTTAAAATAACAAGAATACATGACACCATAGCCAATATGAACATAAACTCTGCCTTTTCTACATAGTCCTTACAAAAGAGTTTTACTTTGTGTGCTTCACAGATTTTCATATCATCCTGCCTTACTGAGGATGGGAACATAAAATCAAACTGAGTAAAATCGATGCATGTCGAATGGTCAATGTTTCTCGGTTTAGAGCACAATTTCCAAAATATAGTGAATAAGAATGTTGTGATCACAAGGAAACCAAGCAAAATTATCCAAGTGAATGTTAGAATGTAGGTTATTATCATAAATATTGCGCAGGATATTCTGCCTCCAACCCTTGCTCGCCACGCTCTGTACACTTTTTGTCGCGTAGCACCTGTTGTGAGGCATCCCAAGCATAACAGCATGAAACCTAAAGCAGCCATACAGGCACTTCCAACAATAAATATCATTTGAAGAGCTTCGATCCAAATGAGGCGAAAGTGGAATACTTCATCGAACATCAATATAGAAAGCGCTGATCCTCGATACATTGTGCCACAAAACACTCCCACGCCCAGGCAACACATTATTGTCGCTATAAGTGTGGCATGCGGAACCCTCGTGAGACATGCTTGGCAATTATCACCCATCTTTCACAAACACTGATATTTAAACTTAAAACTCTTTATTTTGAAATTGAACGTATAATGTTTACGACAAATACGGGAACAAAAAAATTATTTACGGTACGTAACGTAATTGACGGCTTGAGTCATCACTCATCGGTAAATATTGACGTATGACATGCGACCACAGAATGGATGAACCGGTTTTACATTTGTCACACATTTGCCATGTTCAAATGAAAAAGACTTTTGATTTATGTATAACAATACCTAATATAAAAAAAACAAATCATTTAGAACACCACAGGCATATTTATATTTCATGAAACTATCGTATAAAATGTTCTATTAGTACGCTGTGGTTGAATTCAGACATCAACTTCAAAAGTCAAGATTTACCCGTATAACAATGTCATCTGTCACATGTTAATTGACATGCATGCTCATGTCAAACAACGTTGATGCGTCAAACGTGGCGCAAAAATAAGAAAGAAATCCAATACATTGTAGAGATAATTTAAAATTTTCGAGAAACTTAGACTTAATACAATTTGTTTTTTAATAGTACGTAAAGCCATAAATAGGGGTATACTTTACATTGTTACTACAGGATTTTGGAAAGTTTGTACGTAATTCCTTAATTTTATTTAAAGAACTTTAACATTTTGCAATGCCATGGAGGCACTTTACCATCAAACCAGTCAACTAATCCAGGATACCTCTGATTTATTCCATAAACTTGATAATGATACGAATCCAGAACAACTAGAAAATGATATACAATCCAAGATTAATGCAATTAATGGGTATGTTACTTATATATTTTTAAGACTTTTCATTCTTTACTTCAGAATGTTGAATATTTTATGAATAACACATAAATATTAAATTACAGCAATTGTGAGAAGCTTGATATCTTGGTATTCAAAACCCCAATAAATCAGAGGCCTATGGCAAAAATGCGAGTGGACCAATTAAAATATGACAATAGACATATACAGGTAAAATATGTCATTTGCACTTAATACAATAATAACTAAAGAAACAAAACATAAAAGGCTTGTAAATTTCACGTACCATCAAATAAACCTCCTGCCTGTCTGCCCTCTATCATAAAAAATTATACATAATCAAGAGATTTCATAAACTTCCATACAAATGCTAAACAAAATTTCCAATGTTTTTACTACAAAAAAACAAACGTCAGAAAATCTAAATGCCCATTGACACAATCAAACAGTACAATAAGATATATTCTCCCCCATACCCCTTAAAAAAAATTTGGATTGCACTGATTTAAAGTTCTTTTATTTTTGCAGGCATCACTAATAAATGCCCAAAATAAAAGACGTAGAAGAGAACAAGAGAAGTCTGAAAGAGAGCAACTATTAAGTCGGCGTTTTGGTAATGATCACATGGCAATAACTGTAGACTATACAGCTCAAGAAAATGCCTCCTTACAGAATTCACATAGAAATGTTGATGAAATGATACATACAGGTTTGTAAAGACATTTTCCTCAAAGATAAACAGAATATAAGTTACCAATTGGTTTAATGAGAGAGGTCCTAGGTTTGAATTGTTTAAGTAGCACACAGAAGTTATTAGTATATTGGTTTCCTTGCCTACAAATCCTCAAGGAAAAAGAAATCATTGTGAGGTACTTTAGAAAATCAGCTACTATTGGTATCTTAATAATGAAATACAGTTTATAGTTTACGCGAGTAGTACACATTTAAATAAAACACTAAACCATTTAAAACGCAATATATTAGTTAAACTTATTTGAAAATGATTTTTAACTGCAGCAGCTGAAACGTGGGGCCGTAGTTAAAAATCACTTTCAAAAAATAAGTTTACTAATATATCGCGTTTTAAACCGTTAAAGTGTTTTATTTAAATCTTAATAGTGGTGTTAAAAAAGTAATATTCCAACATCTAAACGTCCAATGTCTGAAAACCCGAGTAACATTGCAAAATGGCCAAAGGCTGTATGAAATTACTTGAAGATAGTTGGTATATAGGCTATTGGGTGAGAAATTAAATTATATATTGTACTTGTAAAACCTGTTACCCAATTAAATATTTGTGTTGAATTATAATGTATACTGACTTGGGGTACAAATGTACAGATACCACAAACATGTTATTTATCCTATATAGGCTTAAATTCATTGCTATTTCTATTTTGAGAGTTCTAAAGTGTTATTTTTATTTTCATTTAGCAAAAAATAATAATATTTTATAAAGGTAAAACCAAAGGACTTCTTTTAAAATCGTCGATAATCGATAAATAGTTAAAAATGATGTTTATGACTTTAATCCAAGTGTTCATTCGATGCAAAATATGAAATTATCTTTGTGCAGTAGTTATAATGTTTTAGGATGGTTTTAGGGTGGGGAGACGGCTCAAGGCCTACTTCTTTTACTCAAAACTTTTCTATGCATCAGTACAAACTTGGGTTATTGTGGCGCTACAATTTAAGCCTCTCCAGGTGTCGGTAATCCTAGCTCAAACTCTGATGGTACTCATCCAAAACAGTCAAACTGATTTTTAGAAATCTTATAGGCTTGTACTGTACGTCTGAGAATTGGCATCCATTCTTCATGCACCTAAATTATAAGGTCCACCTAACGTATGTTATGAATTGTTTTTGAGAAATAATTTTTATAATGTGGCAATTTCATGTAACCTTAATTTTTCCTCCTTTTGGTATATAATTATTGTTCTACCATCGTTTACTGCCTTTTCAATCATATACCACATCCTTGTATTCTTATATATCAAATCACAAAGTCTTTTGTAATCTGGGAATTCCCTAGAAATAATTTTAGCAAAACGGTTGCCGGGCCAGCTAGCACATATTGTATATAACTATCATATTAATAAACTTTAACGCTGGCTGACAAATAAGTGTTATTAATATTTTATTATAACATTGTTTTTTAGTGCTATATGTGACATAGTATTGGCCTTGATTTTGAGAAGCCGCCTTCGTTTCCTGAGTCATTACAACATACCTAACTATTTACCTCTTTTAAAATGTTTATCAATAAATAATATTGAACGCCTCTAAATACAAGTTCATAGTTACATACTAGATTCGATGCCCGGTCAAATAGATGCGGGGCACAGTGCCTGTGAATATAATTGCAGTAACGTGCCCCATACCCCACAGTTACTAGTAGAACCGTGACCACTATTTTAAATTTAATCGATATTACGTAGAAACTAAACGTATCCGGTGCCTGTGCGTGTATTGTAATGCAAATTATTTCTTTAATTCATACCTCATTATACTTAGTAGGGATAGAACAATGTACGAAATTATGTCTAACTTTCCGTACCTTTCGGACATTGTTTAGTCTGTGTGTGTCCATAGATTAGTGAAGACTCGTCGGGCATTCGCGGTTACAAAAACTTTACCATACAGGACTTGAAGTTCATGTATTTCGTACACAGGTAGGTACTCACCACATTTTGATTTGTCATCTGCCACCGACACTTATTTGTTTATTCACTTCACTTCACTTCACCGTCTGTCATCGTACCGCGGCATTATATTTTTAAAGTGATTTTTACGAACACGAATTTACGCGCAAGTTCAACACTACTCTAAACAACATCTACGCTACAAGTAGTTAATTATCGCGTTCGAGGCAGTTAAGTGCCTGTGTCTTTGATATGTATTCTGTAAACGAATGTATCGAACGGATTATTTTCAGCTGACATATATGCAGTTAAAAAATAGTTTGGATTAGTCTCCGTTTGACCTTGGTTACGAAATGGATACCTACCTATTTTTTCCGAGAACCCGTTATGCTAATGGTTGAGAATATATTCATCTACCTCTGTGACCTGATATAAACGACAGTAAATAAATTGAATAACTACCGTGTTGATAAATAACGCTGGCAACCCGACTGACTGTGTACTATTTATGCAATAAAATATTAAATGGCAACCCATTGTCAAGGATTATTTGGCAATAAAACACCTTTATTTGCTTTTGACAACTTTGGGTGTCTTTTGGTAAAATATATAAAAATTACAATAAGGGAAATAAGTATTAAGATAGATGTTATAGTAATAGGTACTGTCCGTAGTTTAGCCACAAATACAAATTGAAATAAAACGCTTTTTAACGGTTCAAAACGCTAAATACTGCTCGACGGCTGCTGCAAAGTATCTGATACGTCGGACCAAAATTAAAATAAATAAGTAACTAATATATTTCCCGTTTCAAACCGTTAAAAAGTGCTATATTTATAGTGTCAATTGAAATCACATATTTGATATAACAACTTTTGCGCGGCTTTCACTTAAAATTAAAAGTACCTACCTACATAAGCACAAAATAGAAAAAGTATTATTATATTTAGTAGTGCATCTACTCGACATAATTAAATTAGCAATAATACAATAAATATTAGTAACTAGCTGTGGCAGCGACTTCGTCCGCTAAGAATATTTATTTTGGGCATCGAAATTCGTTTTCGCAAACCCCTAGATCATTATAATCTTAAGCTGTTAACCACTACGTCGGTCGCGTCCCTTCTCGTCGTTCTTGCAAGTTAATCTTAAAAGATACATATTTTTTGAGTATCTTGAACAGATATTATTAATTAGTAAAAAAATTTCGGCAATTTTGGAAATCCTGTCGGAAATATTTTCTTCGTACAAATAAAATATATTTAAACAAATATAAATAACCATAAAAAAAATCTTAACTTGCATATTATAAAACCTTGCGTAACATTAAAACAAATAAATACTTAATAACTGGTTCAAGTTATTGTAGTCTGTAGTTTACGCGAGTAGTACTCATTTAACAAAAAAACTTTTACAGTTTAAAACGCGAAATTTATCAGTCAAAGTAATTTACAAATTGTTGTTGCGGCCCGCTGCTACAAAACATCCGTAACGTGGGGCCGTAGTAAAAAATAAATTGTAAATAAGTTTAACTAATATATTTCGCGTTTTAAACCGTTCAATTTTTTTTTTAATTTTGTGAAAATAGTAATTGTGAAATTCAAATGAATTGTACTTCTTCTTCAGGTTCTAGTATCTTGGAGACACTGCGGTACAACCGTGACACGCTAAAAGGCGCGCACAGGCGGCTGATAGACCTGGCTAATACCTTAGGCTTGTCAAACGCCACAATATCATTAATTGAGAAGCGAGTCTCCCAGGACAAATATATTCTCTTTGGTGGAATGTTCGTTACGCTGACTGTGATCGTACTTGTCGTTATGTATCTAGTATAACAACGAGTACCTAATGATAAAACTATTCGCTTTTATAAATTATTTATCTATTGTATAGGAATTAAGAAAATTGTTACTATATTTAACGAATATATATTGTTTTATTTCTTATTGCCCTGTTTTATTAATATCGTATGTGCTTCAAGTGGCACACAAACAAACCAGGTAATGGTTTTAAACGCGACATTAAAAAACTGTAAAGCTGATAACATGGCCCCTGACGTGATGTCCAAGTATCGGGTCGTAAAAAATAATATATAACACGTTTTAAACTGTTAAGTGTATTAGTTACAGATAATAATAAATGTCACAAAACGCATGCTTAGTTATGCAAACGATCGGATCGTCCATTGTTTTGAAATAACTAGTTTGAACAATTAACGTTGAACTGTTAAGTTTTTACAAAACAATGAGAAAATAAGTCTTAATAAGTCAACAATTGTAATGACTTAACATTTCCTCGTTAGCGCTAAGTTTCAAAGTGAACGAAGGTTACAGTGATAAAAAATATGTATTGACGTAAACTACAAAAATGCGTATACAATACGAATTTTTTGTAAAAAATAAATTGTCCACACGAAAGACAATGTGTCTTATCTCTACTTCCGTGTTGATTATAGATGTTTTTTATCTATACTAATGCTATAACGATCAAATGTTTGTTTGAACACGCTAATCTCTGGAAGTAATGGTTCGAAGTGAAACATTCTTATTTAAGTGTTGGTTGAACCATTTATGGTGAAAGGTTGAAGGCTGTATCATCAGGCTGCGATCAATAGGAGCGAAAAAACAGTGGGAAAAACATAAAAAAAAAATATCTTAGAGGGTCTTCGTTCCGTTGCTGCGAAAATAGTTAAAGATATACATATGTTTAAAAGAATTTTTCTTCTCCAAATTATTAAAAAAATATATAACGCTATAATTTTAAAATTATTTTACTTATTTAATTATATACTTTTAAAAGTAACTCGTTAACTTTTGGTCGAAATACTTCATATGGCAAAAGAACGTTTGCCAGGTCAGCTAGTATTTTGTTCTCAAAGCACCGTAGAGGGCTGGTGGTGTGTTTAGTCGTTCTGATCGGCTTTGCGATTTACCACACCCGACGTGGGCGTGCATTAGGCAATCACACCATCAGATTAAAAAAAAAGTCCGGCTAGTATTTTTATAAATAATTATTGTTTATGTTAAACCATGCGCACCTATTAAAACTAACAATGAAAAATAACCCCGTTTTTAAACTAGGCAATACCTAGCATTGCGTTAAAAATGTTCCTGGATTCCACTCCTGCCGATTAATGAAGTGGACACAGATATGCAGACACGAAACGGGATTTTATATTTCAGACAACCACGAATCTTCTGTATCTTATTAAGACAAAAAATGTCCTTAGAAAATGTATATGTTAACGTCAACAAAAACACTTGTTAAATAAAGAAAATCAAATTCATTTCATTGGTCCACGTTTGTCAGGATCACAACACGGCAACACGGGTTTGACGTGGGGACATGCAAACGAGACATCTTCCTTCTTTCTGGCGCAAGGACCGATTGGTTCTGGTGGGGGGTTGACACAGGCTTCCACTGGAGGCGACGATTCACGAGGGTAGTCAGCAACCCGCATGGCAGCTGGAGATATTTCGGGGACGTCACGACGTAGCTTCTTCACTTTATCATAAGCGTCCGGTGGAAGACGCATGAATTCTGGCACCTATATAATAAGAAATAAACAATAATACGAAATCTAACGAACATGACCCGGCATTAAGCATAATTTAGCATAAATACTAATAAAATTACTAGTTTTGTGCTTTAATGGGTAGCGTAGCATGGCGTTAAGCACAAAGGTCGTGGTTAGGAAACCTGGGAAAACCATAAATAGTTTCTATCGGGCTGGCCACAGAAGTATCACTAACTACATGTCAGTAAAAAATCGATATAGAAACGTGTTCGATCCATGCATCCATGATTTTAACAAAAGAAGATAATAAAACAAAGTCATTAAAATATATTTTTATTGCAGTAAGTAGTTGTATCAATAACATATTATATATGTATATATAATATGTTTTTCGTTAGACACTTTGAATCCAACTACTGGATATATATGGCTTTTGTAAAAGTATCAACTTACCTCTTTGCAATCAACACCATATGTTCCGAGGTATCCTGGCAATTGAGGCTTCGGTACCACCTCCTCCCCAGTCGCTTGCTGGCTCTGTTCATTAGGAATAACTTCGTATGGACAAATATTTTGTTCACGCCTCTCCGCTCGTTCGTCTGCACCCTGAAATTTCTTCATTTATAACGACTCGAGATCGATAGCTATGATAACCAAGATAACACGCTTACATCTATACTAATATATAAAGCTGAAGAGTTTGTTTGTTTGGACGCGCTAACCTCAGGAACTACAGGTTCGAATTGAAAAAAAAAAATTTGGTTAGACCATTTATCGAGAAAGGTTACAGGCTATAAAACATCGTGCTCTGAATAATAAAAGCGAAGAAACAGCGAAATGTGAAAATAATGGGCTTCCGTTGCGTACGATGCAAACATGGTTCAAGACACCCAAAAAGCATGTATTCAAGAAGGATTCCTTTTAAAATTATCAATAAAAAGTCCGCGACAATATATCTCTATCTTTTAAGAACTTGCAAGAAGGACGTCACGCGGACGACGTCGTGGGTAACAGGTACAATTTATAGTCTCGAATACGATGTTTGCAAAAACAATTGATGCCTAAAATGACTATACTACGCGGACGAAGTCGCCGACACAGCTAGTGTAGTACGAAAAGAGCAAATTAACGTACAGCATCCTTGTATCTCTCGCAAAAATCTTCGGCTTCAGTGAAGTGTGGCTGTTGGCCAGGTGGATAGGTGGTCCTGGAAGGTTTCTCGCGGTGCTCGTCTGGTGCTGGGCCACTAAAGCAGACCACCTTCTGCTGGTCGTCGCGAGCGGTGCCCGATTTTAGAATGCCTTTAAGTGGCACTACGTTGTCACAGGTAGGATTGCTGAAAATGTTTAATTATTTTAATATTCCAGGAAACAGCCCTTTTATTGTGGGGCCCGGTGCCATCAAAAATTTTGTGGAGGGAGTCGATACGGAGTAGTGGGTACAACGCTCTTGTACACTTTATTCATAAAACGAGATCTGTTCCAGTTGTGGAACATCAAGTTTCAACTAATTGTCTTTGTTAAAATTTTGACTAAATAATAACATTGTACCTATAATACATATAGGCATTATATTATAGACATTATTTTAGGTCGGACACGGCACAAATACGTAAACAAGCATGTTAATAAAATTGTCAATCGAAACGGAGAAAGAACTGTGTCCACCTCACACCGAGGTTTGGAAAAACAAATGCAAGTGAAATCCTGTTTCCTCCATGAGGCATAGGACGACAAAATTTCTGTTATCGTTTCACTGGTCGGCTTTATTCACAGACTTCTATGCTCTGCCCGACCGAACAATCTATTTTTCCCTAGAATTAAACCTAGGACCTCTCGCGCTAAAGATAATGCTAGGCAACAATTCTTAGGAGCTTTGGTCGTGCAAATGTGTTCCCAGGGCTCCTTCAAAGCCACGTAGCGGACTGGTGCTGTTTTAGTGATACTGGTCGGCTATTGTCTCCGAAGAGGTTGTAGTACGATGTACCATACTCCCCACGATACTATTGCCGTGGACGCCCACGCTTTAGGCGTTCACATCATCAGTTAAAAAAAGGCGACAGTTTTTAATAATCTAGCTACAGAGGCCTCAAAAACAAAACTAAACGCTGTAGGATGACGCAGATATGTCTATACATGGGTTTAATCATCCAGCAATTAAGAAATAAAGCTTACGAGTTAATGAATATTATTGGACCTGGTTCACCTCGGAATGGTAATGTTAGAATGAGGTCAAGTTAGACGTATCTAACCATTAATTCACCTTGATAAAATCGTCCAATATGCTATAGAGCGAACATTAATTTTCGCTTTAAATTGGAACTATTTTTCTTCTTTCTACAATTTTGTACAATTAATAAGACAGATTTTTAGTATGTTAATCTCAAATAATTTACGATATAACGCTTAAGCGCGTTGCTTATCATTGCTCTCAACGTGAGCGACCGGAGGTTTGAATCCCAAAAAAAAAACAATAGTTAAAAAACAAACATTTAAAATTTTGATAAACTAGCCTATAAATCAATTCGATAAGTGAAAGGATCACTGAAATGAGTCCATCCTATGTCTCGAACGGGCAGACTTAACACGTCGAACGAACATCGAACACACGAAGCCTAAAACTTGGCGATAAAAGGAGTCGCGGCGCGTTTCTTGCCAGTTCTCGTTCCTTCTACGCCCTTGATTTGAGAACGGGTAGTGAACTCTAAATTTGTGATGTTCATAAGTGTAAATAGGTACCTACGTGAATAAATTATTTCTTACTCTGGCTTGACTAAGACCATATAACAGCGAAACGATAAAACGATAGACATTTTATCGAGGCGCGCATGCTAGGCCATGTGTGGTAAAGTGCGCCCTATTTACCTCAATCTCGCTATACGCAAGGCATCGTCGTAAGAAATACGGTCGGTGGTCTGCGGTGGCGTTGGCGGCCTTGGTGGTGTGGCGCTCCCCTCCACCACGTCCAGGGCTGTCAAACAGCGTTCCATGGCGCTTGGCTCTGCCACAGCCGCCTGACCAATCTTCGCTAGTTGAGCGCGTACTTCGGCCGCTTGCTCTTCCCTTATTGCTTCCTGTAAATAAAAACTTAAGCTGTTTATTATAAGACAAGAATGCCATCGACTCCACATGTCTTTTATTTTTTGTTTTATCATCAAATATCTATTAAACATTTTTAATGGAATTCAAATAAATAAACAAACATACACTTTAACGGTTAAAACGCGAAATACTTTTTTTCAGCCGGATCTTACCGTATCGGCTTTTAATAGTTCGCATGAGTTTATTTAAAACTACCCGCGTGGTGAATTTAAATTATTGTAAATTTAAGTAGTTATAGATTTCTCATGTAAGCGACTTAAAATCTAAATAAGAAATAAATGTTTTTAAACCGAAATATCAGTTAAACTTGTTTATATATATTTTTAATGATTTATAATTACTATTAATATTTCGCGTTTTTAACCGTTATAGTCGTTTATTCAAATGTGTAGTAGGTACTCGCGTAAACTACAAACAGTATTTAAATAACGAATATTGTATTTGCCGTCTCCGTGGACTGATCAGATCGCTAACATTGCCTTACACGAGGAACGCTGATTTCGAATACGGGGGAATCACAAGCAATATTTTCGGCCGGACAGGTTTTGATCTTATCTCTCTCTTAAAAGAGCTATTGACCGACAATAAATAAAGGATTAGAGAGAATAATTGACCTGCAGTTCATCCTTGAGGTTGCCCTGTCCCATGTGGTAATTTCGTACATTATCAATCACCTCCTGCGGGAATTTCTCTGGGTTCGCGCTCATATATCGATACACGAAGAGATCGCATCCAATTATCTTGAACCTGTGCTTGAAGACGGGAACTATTGCTCCTGGAAAACAATGTAAAGATGTAAAATTTACATTTACTGTCACGAAGCACGAGCAGAGTCTAGTTCCATTGGTGTGATATAATAAAACATTTTTAATGTCAAATAAAAATCGATTTTAGATAGAAAAAAAAATTACGACACGGGCAGGGCTTGAACGGGCATTCTCAGGGTTCCGCGCTATGGCTCTAACTACTTGAGCTCAAGTCCTGCCCGTGTGGTAATTTTTTTCAATCTAACATCGACTTTTAATTTATATAGTGCCAACATGTTAAAATATCCAATTTTCAAACTTTTAATGGTATCAAAATCCAACAATAATCGCTAATTACATACATAGGACCTGAGGGTCGAATGGCCTCAGTAGCAGGCCAGTAAATTGTTATTGGTGGGTTAAATCCTTACTAATATTAAAAATCCGAAAGTAACTCTGTCTGTCTGTCTGTTACTCTTTCACGCCAAAACTACTGAACTGATTTAAATGAAATTTGGTACACAGATATTTTAGAGCCTAAGCAAGGACAAAGGCTACATTATTACTGCCCAAACCGGGGCTGATAGGGTTTGAAAGTTTGTATGGAAATTCGTGGTTTATGAAGCTAGAACAATGAAAATTTTTTCTTTGGTTTTTGGGAATAGGAGTGGAAATGGACGTGGGAGTAAGAGCGAGAGTGGGAGTTACAGTAGGAGTGATGTGAGGTGAGAGCGTTGCGGCAAAGTAGCTCTTACAACATAGATTAGACTGGCTGCGGTAAATGAGCAATTACATAAATTAAAAACAGCCTAAAGAATTAAAAATTCAATCCCAAGTCACTATTCCACGCGAACGAAGTCGCGGGCACAGCTAGTTTAGTTATAATTGCGTTTTCGTCTATTAATAGTAAACTGATAGATTAGTTATAACGAATAATATAAATAATTTCTACATTTATTTCAATCTTGAAAATACTTCTTTTGTCATAGGCAAGTATGGATGTGATGGAGCATAACATTTCTGCTGCCACAGTAAGTCAACAGTCTGAAACCCTAACTTGATTGAGCTCTACGGCTTTTCCATCTGTGAACGGTGGATCATGAATTTCAAGTTTCCCATTTAATAACCAGATTTTCTAGACGATGTCATGGTGGGAATCAAACCCACAATCCGTTTAAATAAAACACTTTAACGGTTTAAAACGCGATATATATTTGTTAAACTTATTTTTACATTATTTTAACTACGGGCCGACGTTTCGGATGCTTTGCAGCCGTGGTCACGTATATATTGCGTTTTAAACCGTTAAAGTGTTTTATTTAAATGTGTAGTATACCGTAAACTACAGACAACACAGTTCGTTTATTAATAGCCATACATAGCTACCATTCGCCCGATGAGACCGAGAGAATTTTTACATTCATTTTTAGCATATGAGAATTATACATATTCAAATTGCCTTATCTGTACACGACTTGTTTTTAGCTGTGTTATGAATATCCTCACAGTACAAGAATTCATGTTATTTTGATATCTGATAACCGGTTTGGATGCAGTCAAGTCACGCAAACAAGTGGAAAGAAACGGCATGTCCGGAACCACTTATTAATTGTATTTTTAGCTTCTGTTTGTTTACTGTGTATTTAATACTAGCTGATCCGGCAAACGTTTGTCGTTTGCAAGATTAATATTATTATGCTGATACGACTCAACAAATAATCTATATCTATACTATTATATAAAGCTGAAGAGTTTGTTTGTACTGGTTGAAATTATAAAAATTTTCAGTTGGTTAGACCAATTAATTGAGGAAGGCTATACACTATAAAACATCGTAGTGACGAATAGGGCAAAGAAACAGCGGTAAATGTGGAAAAAACGGGGAAAATTATTGATCTCTGTGTTTCACATGCGTACACTGCGACAACAGTACACCATAACAACATAAACGATGTGTATGAAAGAATGATTTCTCTTTAAATGATCTAAAAATATGTCTATCTCTTAAGATTTACTTGCAAGAACGACGACGTTTTGCAAAAACACACATTTTATGCCTAAAATAACTATTTTACGCGGTCGAAGTCGCTGACACAGCTAATTGGTAATACAGCAAATGTTATTGTCATAAAAACGGTTCTTGCGAGTTAATCTTTAAAGATAGATTTGCACTGTCGCGGATAGTTTTTTTAAATCATTTAAAGAGGAATCATGTTTCCATACATATTTGCATTTCAGAGCAATTTTACGGATCACTGCAGTAGTGGTTCAAGTCTCGCTCATGTCCTTGAATTGTTTCCAATCTAAAGATTCATAATTGGCGTACATAAAACAAAGTTATATTAAGAACACAAATGCATATTATTGACTTGAAAACTTTAATATTTTTAAACATATAGACACGGTAGCTCAATTGGTTAGAGCAACGGCACACGCTGTATATCCCGGTAAAGACATGCCCATATTAAGGACAGGAAAACAATTAGTTAAATTTTTTTTTTTCCTTAATATAAAATTGCTTTCGAAAATTCTTGTAAAAAGAATGAATAATACTTGTGTAAATAACTCAATGCGGATATCCTGTAGTACATATTTGCAAAGGTACAAGAATTATTGTTATCTGTGGTTCTGAAAAAACTGGTATTTATAATTTAAAAAACAAAAAAGCACCAATTCGTGGAAAAATTTATATAATGGCATTATTTAATCGTTCTTAATTATCAATAATACACGAAGAAGAAGAAGACTATTCCATCTAATTGATATGCACTACCGACCTAATTTGGCCTTAGTTCGCGAAATTCCACAGACTGAAACGGAATCGCGAATTTAGACTTTTTCAATTAGCTAGCTTAGACAATTAGCCGATTCGTGATCCGAGTAGAGAGAGAACATAGGCTCTACAAACGACGTCGATTGTTTTGAATATCCAGAAAGAGTTTGACCACACCTTGGACGTGTTGGTTATTGGCCACCTATATATATAATATATATATATATATATATGTATATAGAATAAGTTAATTAAAACTCTTTAACGGTTCAAAACAAAGTTGGTCTTCGCGTTTTAGTCAATTCTGCAAGGACCCGGCCAGTTTCGCCAAATAACAATTACGATGAAACAGATGGCGCTAGGGTAGCAGTTTTTTACTTTAACGTCAGAGACACGTTCTATCTTTAGCCACCCCGTGACCAGGACTGCTGCAAAGCATCCGAAACGTCGGGCCGTAGTTAAGATATTTTCAAATAAGATTTACTAATATATATCACGTTTTAAGCCGTTTACTCGTGTAAACTACAGACCGTATTTATAGAATAATTGTCATTCAATAGTTTTAAAAGTTTGTCAACAGTATTTTTAAATTAGGCTTTAATTTTATTTTTATACATACACGAGAAATGTATGTATTAAATACTATCGAGTATAGACTATATAGTAGATATACCTTTAAAATCAATTATAAACGCCTCCATGCATTATGCTAATGGCATTATCCATTATCGCTGTGTTGGCCGCAATAACCACACTCCGACCGAATATAACATGGCCGGGCTATATCAAATTGTTTTTAATAGGGCAACCTCAACTAATAGGTATTGCATTAAATTAATTGATTTCAGGCAGATCTATCGAACAGATTCTAGTACGCTAAATAAAAAGAACACTTGTTTTAGTAAAATCAATTTAAGAATGGAGTTTGCCTTATTAATCTTTAATGTGTTCTATTGACATAATACAGGCAATGTCCGTTTTTATAGTAAAACTAGCTGCCTCAGCGACTTCGTCCGCGAGAATTTTGGGCATCCAAATTCGTTTTTGCAAACCCCTTCATCTTTATAAACTTCAGCTGTTACCCACGACGTCGCTCACTTCCCTTTCCGTCGTTCTTGCTAGTTAATCTTAAAAGATAGACATAGCGTCGCGGACTTTTTTTAAGCCCAATTAAGCTGAGAGTCCCTTCGCAGCATCCCAGGAACAGGAACAAGCCACTCACAGTCAAACGTCAGCCCGCCTACCTACAATTTGTGAAGGGAGTTACAGATAGAATTACCAGAATCCTAAATCGAGCTTCTATTAACACAATTTTCAAGCCGCACAAGAAGATTCAGCAATTCCTGAAACCAAACAAGTGTACGACCCTTTTACAAGACAGCCATTTATAGACTGGATTGTGATTGTGGCCTATCCTACATCGGCCAAACAAAGCGTAGCGACTCAAACAGAATTAAAGAACACGTCGCGGATATAAACGTCTCTCCAAATCTGCGGTATTCCAACACTCATCGAAAGGGCCCAATTCATTACATTATACATATGCATGGCATACCGGCAAACGCGAAGACACCGTTAGTCAATTCTGTAAGGACCTGGCCAGTTTCGTCAAATACCAACTTCGACGGAACAGATGACGCTAGCGTAGCAATTTTTACTTTGATGTCAGAGACATCCTCCATCTTTAGTCTCCCCGTGACCACGGCTGCTGCAAAGCATCCGAAACGTCGGGCCGAAGTTAAAAAACATTTTCAAATAAGTTTAACTAATATATCGCGTTTTTTAAAACGGTTTTCCGTTAAAGTGTTTTATTTAAATAATTTTCCCATTTTTTCCACATTTCTCGGTGTATCTTCGTCACAGGTTTATAGCCTATTATAGACTTTCCTCGATAAATGCTCAAACCAACACAATTTTTTTTTCAATTTGAACCCGTAGTTCCTAAGATTAGCACGTTCAAACAAACAAACTAACAAATTCTTCAGCTTCATATTAGTATAGATAAAGTTTATACCTAGTATTTTGTTTATAGCGCGAAACATTTATTTATTTATAATTTCGAAATTACACATTTAAGGGTTCAAAACGCGAAGGATTCTTTTACTAACGTTTCGGATGCTTTGCAGCAGCCATGGTCACGAAAGATCGTAGATGGAAGGTGTCTCTTCGTAGTTGGTATTTGGAGAAACTGGGTATGTCCTTATAGTTAGCTCCTTAGTTGTATACTAATACTTTTCGTTTACAACCGTTAAAAGTAATTTAAGAAGTACAGACTTACACTTATACGTAATATATAAGTCTGCCTTGCTTTACATTAAAGCCAAATGCGCTGGACTTCGAGTGGAAAACCTGGATATCAAATGGGTGGTAGAAATATCAAATTACCGTCCAGATTACGAGTCATCGTCTACAGAAAAAGCTGTGAAGTTTAATCGCCTTTCGATTTCAGTCAATACCCAAATAACAAATCTCGTTTAAATGTTATTTATATACGAACCAATGAAAAACCTGTCCGGCGTATAATATGTCGGAAAGTTGGGATCCGATTCGGGCGTTTGTAGAAGCATGGCCTTTAAAAATTTCCCCTCTCGTATCCCGGAATTTCGCCGGGGAATTTCGCCTATTTTAATAGTGCCGTCGGCGAGGCTGTACGATAGTACGAACTGTCGGCCTTTGTCCTCCGGGTGGATCCAGTCCAGTTCACACAGATAACGAAGGTACTGCAAGAAAAACAGCAAGAATTTAATTATCGTCATTCCTTATATCATATATCTATACTAATATATAAAGCTGAAGAGTTTGTTTGTTTGTTCGTTTACGCGCTAATCTCAGGAACTACTGGTTCAAATTGTTTTTTTTTTTATTTTTTGAGCATGTTTTGAAGACGACTTTAGGCTTAATTAAACTTTACGATGCGACGAATAGGAGTCAAGAAATGTTGGAAAATGTGGAAAGAACGGGCAGCTTTGAGACTTTTCTATCATCGATCTTTTCCTATTTTTTAGGAGTAACTTTTTTGAACCACGGGACGCAATCGACGTCGTGGGTAATAGCTCTTTTATATATAAATATGAGTAGGGCACGCAAAAACACATTTTCATGGCTAAAATAACTAACGCGGACGAATTCGCTGACATAGCTAGTTCGTTATGAGAGTATTTTTGTAAAATGGCGCTCAAGCGAGCTGTAAGAATGCGCGAGATTTTAAATAATAATTACGACTACATTTCTTCATGCATTTGAGCTTTTAACGAGTCGCATTAGCATACCTACTCAACAGGGCGTGTTTAAATGTTCCTCAGAACAAAAACTTTCATTTGCACATTTTAAGTTTTCTGCTACTTATAGAATATATTAACATTTTACGGTTTAAAACGCGAATTGTATTAGTTGCTTTTTGACCGTAACCGGCCCGAGAACGTTGTGTTCTTGTTAAATGAAAATTAAATAATACGTTTCGGGTTTCAAAGTATTTAACTGTTTCTTATTACGATAGTAGCTTTGTAAGGTTATAACGATACGTTGTCGTTTACATCAAAAATCTACATACGGTAACCGTATTACTGGACGAAGGTTGTGGCTCGAATGTTAACGACCTATTCCTACCATATCCAAATTTCCCAACCGGAAACACATTTTAGACAAATTATACATCGATCAATAATTAAAAGCCCGGTGGTACTCTATCCCAGGAGACACACGACAAGCACACATAGAAAGTGTTCCAATCGCCTAAGCGACAGAAGACTTATTCAGGCTTTTTGAAACCTCGACTCCACATTTAAGTTTACAAATTGTCGGATACTTTAAATTACATTTGTTGAAGCATTGAACAGATGTTGCATCTTGCGAGTTTGAGATTTTACTTAGATGCCTGGGCATAAGCTGAAACTTTAATTGAGTTCGGAACTTACAAATCTTAATATAGGATGACAACATTACTTATCCTAAAATAGACAAAATGTCACATGTATAACTTATAACATAGCTAAACATACAAATATCTTAAGCCAATGTATATGTTATATGGCTGGGGTATACCAAATTTCATCAAATATAACCCTATGCTTGAATCAAAATAATCAGCACAAGAGATAAAATGTAAGGCAAGCGTAATCTATTATTTGAGTATAATAGTGACCATATTCGTAATATAGAAAGAAAGTTAAATCCTATAAATAAAAAATAATACAAACAAACAGAAAAATATAGGTTTCAAAAATTAGCTTTATACGCAACTATTTAAATCGTCTTAGATAAATAAAATTCTGTGGATGTCGGTTCAAGTCTTGCCCCTATTTTTTTTAACCTTAATAGATTCTTAATTTATATAATGCCATATGAATTAAAAATCTGTTATGTACATCAATATAGAAATACTAATGTTAAATACTGTCTATAGTTTACGCGAGTAGTACACATTTAAATAAAACACTTTAACGGTTTAAAACGCGATATATTAGTTAAACTTATTTGGAAATGATTTTTAACTTCGGCCCGACGTTTCGGATGCTTTGCAGCAGCCGTGGTCACGGGGAGACAAGGGGAGATAAGTTTAACTAATATATCGCGTTTTAAACCGTTAAAGTGTTTTATTTAAATACTAATGTTACGAAATGTAATTTTTCTTGTTCTTTTGAAGTAAAATAGCAATAGCGTTTTTGGAGCTAGGTGCGTGTAATTTTCGAAAAGGGGTTTTAAAACATGTACATGTGGCATTCTCTCACGAATATAATATTCCAGTCGTACAACGTAATTATAATGTGCTGTCGATTATTCTGACTTTAGACATAAGAAAATCCACACATAGAGACTAGTTGCAACTTGTACTCAAAAAGTTTACGAAAATGAATCTTACCAGCTAACACCCACACCATGCTTAGTGACTAGAACCCGGAGTTATAATGCGCTTTTTAAGACACGGGGTGACCTATTCCTAAACTATCTTTTCGTCCAAGAACAATTCGAAGCCGAACATTCGGCCTGCAGTCGAGAGTACCTTTAGACTAACAAACTAATGATTCACGGCTTTTCTAACTGAGCTCATGAACAGGACGAAACTCTATATTCCTACCAATTATCACCTCTTTTTTTTATTTAAAACAAGTTGTATCGATGAAAGAAATCTTTGTACACAAACCTTGTTGGCGTTCAGGTTGTATTTGATGACGTCTTTGTGAGGCGGTTTAGGAATTAGACCATAGCATGACTGTAGCGTGTCTTCTGGGGCCCCAATGCCGATGTGAGGTGGAATGCTCTAAAAAAATGTTAGCCAATTAATAATTACAATTAGCATCTGAAGCCCTATGACTAAATCCTTGGATTGAATACCTGGTAAAAGAGTTAAAATTTCGAATATAGAAAAAATACTTGCTGTTAATACAATGTGTAGTGTAGGAGAAACGAGATTGTAGAATAAACGTATTGAAAAAGTCAATTAGATTGAAAGTGAGAGGTAAGAGGGTAGTTATCAAATATTCGTATCCCTCATAGTTTGTATGAATATGTTTAGATTAACTCACAAACCTCTGCGCTAGGTATTAGATCAGTAGTATTTCACATTTATACTTAGGGCTTTCACGTATTAAATAATGTTAAGAGTTTTGACCCACCTCGAGGGTATTAGCGGGCTTCAACAACTACTGAAACCGAGATCGGCGGCTTAACATGCTCTCGTTGGCTTAAAAAAATCCAAAGTACTAATCTCGGTCCAGAATTCGAAGCCGCGACCTTGTTATTTGCAGTCGAGTGCACTAACTACTAACTAGCCCAACAGTTATAAGTCACAAAGAAATAACATGTCGCTTATTACCTTTGGGAACTCTTTCTTTGTTTCGTGGAACACCTGAATTCGCTGCGGTTGTTCTATATTCAACATCGATCTATAAAAAAAAAATAACGTAATAAATATATATAACCAGTACGTGTTGGATAGCGTAAAGTTGTTCACATAATTGCTAATGTGAAAAGGACTGCATTCTTTGAAATAAATGAAGAAAGTCCGACAAATGCTAATGTTTGAAGGGTATTCTAGGTATTAGTATCAGTAATCATCAGTCTCAGTAGGTACTTAGATTAATAATAATTAATTTGTATTTAAATATATATTTTAGTTAAACTTCTTTGGAAATTATTTTTAACTACGGCCCGACGTTTCGGATGCTTTGCAGCAGCCGTGGCCACGTGACTAAAATATATCGCGTTTTAAACCGTTAAAGTGTTTTATCTAAATGTGTACTACTCGCGTAAACTACAGACAGTATTTTATTTGGAATACTCATGATCAATTATTGAACTCTCACGTGGACGGCGGTTCGTGCCGCGGACGGAAATACAATATTCCTACCACCCATTTACCATCTAGGATTCCAGAGAATTCATCAATTCCGAAAATTTATAAAAAAATTAGAAAAATGCTGGATCCGCCGGGCATCGAACTCACGACCCGTTGATGATATTAGTAATGAATTGTTACCATTACACCAACGCACCCGTCACGTGTGTTCATTGTAAGGGATCAAAGGCCAAACTTGTATTAGTTCAACGCTTTGAACAAGATAATTTGATAATGTTTTACTGTTTACAAAGAGGTCAGAATTTGTTTGAAAATGTGAAAATTACGGTTACAAACAGCTTTCACGTAACACGTACTTTACAGGTTATTACAAGACATTAATAGCCCTTGTAAATTTCAATAAACATTAAATTAAATACTGTCTGTAGTTTGCACGAGTAGTACACATTTACTCGTAAATAAAATACTTATAATGGTTTTAAACGCGAAATGTTAAACTTATTTACAATCTTTTTTACTACGGTTTTAGATGCTTTGCAGCAGTCGTGGTTACGTGTTTTATGTACCTAAGTTTGAGTAAATTGTATTTTACGAATATAAATATTATTATTATTAATGTAATTTTAAACGGTGTAAGTTGAATGAAACAGCAAACAATGGTTCAATTGTAAACATTGTGTTTTATACATCTAGTTATAAAAGCCTTAAAACGCGAGGTCTTGGATTCGATTCGCTAGAAACGTTAAAAAAATCGTTGGTACAGAGCAAAGTCACAAACTTGTCTTACCAATGAATACGGTTATTCATATACACTCGTAGTTATCCTAACTGTGACTGTACAATCGACCCTTTCGAGTTCCGTGCGACACTTGTCGAGGTAAGACTTACTTATAGTAATGCCGTGTGAACCTATCACAGTCGAAGATCAGGAAGCGTCGACCCAGAACGAAGACGGTCTCGCCCACAATCAGATCCTTTGGCGCGTAATACTCGGTCACCTCCTCATCAGTTATCTCCATCGCAATCGACGGGAAGGTCACTGGAATTAATTATTACTGTGAAACAGAGAACAAAAATAATGTAGCTAACAGAAAAAAGCTGAAGAGTTTGTTAGAACTGCTGGATCTCAGCAATTCTGTTTTTTTTTTCTTTTTTATCTTAGTTAGACTTATCATTGAGGAAGGTTTTAGGCTATAAAATTGACTGTAGCCCGAAGGAGTGAAGAAAATTGGTGAGTGTTCCCGTTGCGTGCGCTATCAAAATATTTCAAAAACCAAAAAACTATGTTGAAGGAACGATTTAAAGAAATGTCCGCGACAGTAATTAAAAGTAAATTAATATTCAAAGATAGACATATACATTTCATTCATGTTTTTTATTTATTTCTGGAAGCGTTTCCGCAGCTCACGGAACGGAAACTGTTAAAGATGAATAAATTTCCCCATTTGTTCCACTTTTCCCACAGTTGCTTCGCTCCTATTGGTCGTAGCGTGATATTTGGTAGTCTAAAGTCTTTCTCAATAAATGTTCTACAAAACACAAAAGTAATTTTTAATTCGAACTTCTAATTCCTGAGATTGTCTCGTTCAAACAACAAACTTTTCAGCTTTACAATATTAGTATAGATGTAACTTTAAGTATACACAAGGGTACAATGAAATTTGTAGAGAAAACTACGGACTAAAATAAAAATGTCGGTAACAAAAATATAAGTAAATATCGCAGTCAGCATCAGAGAAATCACGTTAATAGCTGGCTCTTAAGAAGATTAAACTAAGAGAAATTTTGAGATTGTAGAATGTGGCAAGAAAACGAAGATAACAACGTCTCGAAGGCTTCCAAATTAATTCGTATTAAAATAATTCAGCAAGGATCTAGCTTGGACCACATCATTTTTCATAAGACTCCACTTCCACTCCTCCCATATGTGCATTGTTTTAAGAAAACTAAAGATTTTCTAAATATCTCTACGATAGTCATATCTGAAATACACTACAATATAAAAGCAAACTGAAACACCCCTCTAGCTAAATGGTTAAACGTTGCTAAGCATTGCGTTAAGCGCGAGAGGTCCTGGGTTCGAATCCCGGGGAAACGATAATTTGTTTCGGTCGGGCAAAGTATAGTCTAATTAACTACAATTACATTAATTTATACAGGCACATAAAAAAACCTATCAGTGAAAGGGATATACAAATATGACCGCCCCAAGCCCCAAAGGAAGAAAGGGACTTCTATTATTTTATTAACTTGTAACTCAATTAATGCTCCTAAATTACAAAGTTCTTGCACCTGAATTTAACGCATTTCTCAAAGATTGTATTTAAAAATATTTTATTGTTTCCTAAAAATCGAACTAGGAACTGTGCATTGCTAGACAACTCAACGGTAAAGGGTAGGGTTGGTAGTTTTTCTGGGCTATAAAAGCCTGTTTTCGCGAGACGTAATTCAACTATTTCTATTATAATTAGCTGACCTGGCCTTTCCTTCCATTTCTTTGGTACTTTACGCTTCTTCAATAACAACGGAAATGGATCCTTTCCACCGCGTTCGTCGTGTAGTTCCTGAAATGTACACAAGTATACGTACACTTTATCCAGATTATCCTTTATCCATCAACCCGTATTGGGGTAACATGTAGCCTCTTAAATACTTAAGAGACACACAACAATATATAAGGACAGGATTCACTTCATGGAATGTACAAAATTTTTAAGCAAAAGTGTCAATCTATGAACTTTTAAAATCCACAGACTGTAACCGAATCGCAGATTTTAACTTCACGGATTTTTTATCTGTGGCACTTCGTGACCCTTACGACATTTCGATATTCCTAACACTAATTTAAGATCCGAAGCCTAGCATGTTATAAAAGATATAGCTTGGATCTGGTGAGAATCAAACTCACGCATATGCATACGCTCTATGCATAGCAGTTGGATATTAATTTATTTAGTATAGAGGGCGCCACAAAAAACTTACTGTCCGCTTTTGTGAACATGGTTGTCACGCTTTCACGTGATTTGGTATAATTAATAATATTAATTGCTTAGACACTATCTAGCATGATTAAAAAGGCAAGAGGGGTACGTGGGAATATGGAAATTCTGTCCAGGTAACAAGCTACAAGGCTAGTGGAAAAGCAGTAAAATAAATCTGGCAATAAAAAAAAAATCTAAAAAATCAACAATGGTATTATAGGACTATTGCATAAACGTTTACATCAAGTGGTTAAAAAATCTACCATAATTTGTGGCTAAGTAAAATGCATATCGCAAGTAATAAGCGATGTCATAGAAATATAGTTCATGAGTGTAGTACACATAAAAAAATCAGTTTTAACAATTTAAAACGTGAAATGTATAAGTTAAACTTAGTACTAATCATTTCAGATACTTTACACCGTTTACCGTTTTAAACCGTTAAAAGTGTTTTTATTTAAATACGTAATCGTGGCAATTACAAGCTGTTTATTAGCCATACTATGTGACCATTGGACGAAATAATCTGTCTAAAAATACGAGCAAAAAACATCTCTTAATTACAACGTAATTTCAGTAATTTTTATTTTAGAAGTCTAAAGCAATCTCTTTATGCTATTAGTAATCTGTGTAGTCGAAGTTATCAGCCGCTCCAATAAATATTCATCACTTTGATTTTCCGCGACCCTGGTTTGTTTCCAAATTGGAAACAAAGTTTGCTCTGCCATCAAAAGCTTTAGCTGCACCAAATAAAGCCTTCGAAAACAGGTTTAAATAGGATTAACTCGTCATTAGAGAGACGAATTGTCAACAGTATTGTGCTTAAAGATAAATTTGTTTATAACTAAAGCGTTTTTAATTACGAACACCACAGACAGACAGTAACTTATAATAGGCATAAAAAAGTTTTAAAACATTATAGAAACTTAGATTAATAATGTAAACTTATAAATATTAAGCACAATCTACATACATGAAATACAGTCAAGTTAGTTTTTTTTATATAGAAGGGACTGACACTTGATGATAGGTGGTTAGTCATATAACAAAGTAAACTCTCTATTTTGGCTTAGGATATTCAGAAATCCACTGTCTGCAACGCGATTAAAATAACGGCTTTTGCAACGCCAGCGGTGGTTCATGACCCGGATGGACTTTCGATATTCCTACCATCAATTTAAATAAAACACTAACGGTTTAAAACGCGATATATTAGTTAAACTTATAACCAGGGGTCACGGGGAGACCGCGGCTGCTGCAAAGTATCCGAAACGTCGGGCCGAGGTTAAAAATCATTTTTCAAATAAGTTTAACTAATATATCGCGTTTTAAACCGTTTTTTCCTACCATTCATTTAATATTTAGATTTTCAAACTAAGACCAATGTGTTTAACGAAAAAATAAATTAGAAAATTGTTTGAACCGGTGAGGGGCTAACACAAGACCTGTTGATTATTAGTCATAGGTACAATGCTACCATTAGATCAACGAGTTGAGGTGTTATATGACGGGTATATCACCTTCCATGAGTGAACCTCCTGCTAAATACTGTCTATAGTTTACGCAAGTAGTACACATTTAAATAAAACTTTAATCGTTCAAAAAAAGTTAACTAATACATCGCGTTTTAAACCGTTAAAGTGTTTTATTTAAATGTGTACTACTCGCGTAACTATAGACAGTATTTAATTAACCAGTACGGGCTGGAAAATGCAAACAACGTCAACTAATATATCACGTTTGAAACCGTTAAAGTGTATTATTTAAATTTGAACCTCATGCTTGTGGGTTGTCCTCTATCGTAATAAAAAACATTAATTAACAATCTCTTTTAGTTCCTAACAAACCTTTATTGCAATAGTGTCGTCCTGCAGGAAGTAAAGCATTTTGTATTCCGTCAGTTCACCGAATTCAGCATCTCTGTTGTCCCAGGCGACGTTGAAACTGAAACGGGGGATAGAGTTGCACAATTCGATCAGCTTTGTACAGTCATGTTGTACACTAGGGGTACTAGATTTTTTAAAGCCTTTAAGAGGAATTAAGAATAATTTTGTATTAGTGTGCATTATGTTTATATCTCTCTATCTGTACTAATATATAACTGAAGAGTTTGAAGAATTACTGGTTTAAATAAAACACTTTAACGGTTTAAAACGCGATATATTAGTTAAACTTATTTAAAAAATGATTTTTAACTTCGGCCCGACGTTTCGGATGCTTTGCAGCAGCCGTGGTCATGGGGAGACTCATTTTTTAAATAAGTTTAACTAATATATCGCGTTTTAAACCGTTAAAGTGTTTTATTTAAATGTGTACTACTCGCGTAAACTATAGACAGTATTTAATTACTGGTTTATTATGGTTGATAAAAAAGAATATTTCGAAGGAGGTTATAGGCTATGAAACATTGCGCTGCGATTAACAGGAGCGAAGAAACAGCAGAAATGTGAACAAAACGTGGAAAATTAATATCGTTAAAGGTTTCCTTTGCGTGCGCTGTGAAAACTGTTCAAGATACCCAATAAGTATGAAAGATTTTTTTAAATAATTCATAAAAATGTCTGCAACACTATTTAATTATCTAACTAGCAAGAACGACGGGAGGCGACCGACGTCGTAAATTTATAAAGATGAAAAGGAGGTTTGTAAAAGCAAATTTTGATTACCAAAATACTTCGCAGACGAAATCGCTGACGCAGCTAGTACACATAAATAACTTTGTTTCTAATTATTAGGTGTGTACATAAGAATGGTTTTAATAAAGTTAGCTTAAATACTGTCTATAGTTTACGCGAGTAGTAGACATTTAAATAAAACACTTTAACGGTTTAAAACGCGATATATTATATATTTAAATGTTAGCTTATATTATATTTATGTATCTAATTAGTAATTTTATTTTTTATAAAGAATTAAAGTATTATGGCATAACTGGCTATATTTTAAATCGATTAGTAAAACAGACTTGTATGTATGTCTTCTCCATGCTCCACTTAAGGGAATATTTCAATTCTATGTAATTCATCAAACATTTTTACAAAATGTTACGTAAACTTTTGTAAATTGTTAAAGTTGAAATTGTAGCACGTATCACGAGCGACTGGGGAAATACGAACGTTTCCATTGAGTGAAAAGCAAAATGTTTCGGCTACATAACAGTTACCTCAAACTGAACATATCACATTATATATACATATGTATAATGTACATTAAAAATAAATCCCGTTTGCCGTCGAACATCAACAAACAACTCTGTCTGTAGTCAAGCTTCTGTGCCCTGCCTATGCGAATCTATTTATTACGGCTCGTTTTAAACAATAATAAATATATGTTTCGCGTTTAAAACCGTTAAGTGTTATTTAAATGTGTACTACTCGACTAAGCTACAGACGTTGCTTGACACTATCTATGACTTTTAGAGCATCCAAGCACTAATTCTATTTGTCAGATAGATAAATCTTTCTTTAAAAAAAATATTTTCCTATCTATACACATAATTGAATGAAGAGCTTACATTACGATATTATATTTAGAGAACTACCATAGATCAGCGTGAGAAAAACAATGGTCTTTTTAACTACTGTGACACCGAAAACTGAAAACGCACATGAGTATTACAAATTTAAACAAAAACACTTAACGGTATAAAATGCGTAATGTATTATTTAACTCATTTACAATTTATTATAACTACGCCCCGACGTTTAGTATGGTCCCCCGTGACCACAGCTGCTGCAACATCAGGCCTTACTTAAATTTATTGTTTTAATCCGTTAAATTGTTTCATTTTAACGCTCACATTTTCCATAGTCCTGGATTAAAACAATAAAAGCGTTAAATACTGTCTATACTTTACGCGAGTAGTACACATTTAAATAAAACACTTTAACGGTTTAAAACGCGATATATTAGTTAAACTTATTTGAAAATGATTTATTTAAATAAAAGAGCGTTTTCAACGAACTAATCCACTAGTAGATCGTCTAATACCTCGCGTTCTTAAATGAATCCTTATAAACCTTCGAGTAGAACCAAAGTGAAAATAACATTAAATACAATTCGCTTCTCTCACATAAAATCCGTCCCCTGTCTGCAACTCTACACAGCTTATTTTTAGATCACTATCTTTTTTCATTTTCTGCAACCCCGCGTCTAAGTACTCGTAGTTTTATTCAGTCTGCCTTCTGTTTGAAAGGTCAAAAACTATTCGAAGAAACTGAAGTCGCAGTTAGACTACGTTTAAAGTAAATTAGAATTTGATATGGTATTATCTCATAATTATGTATATTATTATGTATGCTTATTTATAATATATTATAGATTTACAACTTCTTCTCTTCTCGAATCTCTTTATCTAACAATAAACTTCTAACGAAACTAAGTTTTCAATTCGAATGAGTAGTTCTTAAGCACTTTAGGTAGCCTTAGATAAGCGCGTTTAAACAATACTTATAAGCTTTATAATATCAGTAAAAATTTGGGTATAATTGAAAACCTTAATTTATTTCTGATATGAAAAAAATGAAATCTTTTTAACCTTTCACATACCCAATAATAAACCAATCTAACTTCTACCCAAAGGAGCGACTTTCCAAGAACCAACAAATTCACCAAAACTTGGGCACAATGCTCCAACTATTTGGTTACGTGGGGTCCCTAGAGCTGTTCCGAGAGTCCGTGTTACTTCTCCCTGATTAGATTTGTCAGGCAACGTACGCTTTAATTGTATTACATGTTTGAGATTCTGTAGATACCTGTCTAACTCGGTTACCCAACAATTGCATTAAGTTTATATCTAGATTAACTCTAATGTTATTGCTAGTTACATATTCGTTACACTTTTAATTTAACGTTGGAACAAATAACACAAAAATAAAAAGATGTTATCAAAGTATAGATATATACAGATATAGTTTTTATTATAAACATATCACAGACATTAAATGTTGTCTATGATCTTGAGCATAGACTATATTAAGTTATATAGATAAGTACGTACAGATTATATGAGATATACAGATAACTACGTTCTAGGGTTCGAATCCGACGTCAGACAAATGTTACTTGGTACCAGCCCGGGGTATAACGTTTTCGGTGGTGGTTTCAAAGACTAGAACATTACACTATCGTCAAAGCCCGTGAAGCCGCACCGGACAAACGTGGTAGGTCAGAGCTTTTCTATATCCTTATTATCCTTTTTACGTGCGTAACTGTGAGTTATTAAATTTATGTAAAACAAACTGCGCCAGCGACTTCGTCCGCGTTGAATAGTTATTTTGGAGCATCCAAATTTGTTTTTGTAAACCTCCTCTTCATCTTTCATCTTCGTCATTCTCGCATGTTAATCTCAGATAGAGATAGACATTTTTTAGGTCTAGAATATTTTTGAGCTGTATTCGCAGCGTATGCATCGGAAAACCACAGAGATGAAAAATTTCCCCCGTTTTGTTCTCATCTCCCGCTGTATCTTCGCTTTTATATGTCACTCATAGCCTTCCTCGATAAATGTTATAACCAACACAAAACGATTATCTTTATTATTTTCCCCGTCTGCACCACATTTCTCACAGTTCCTTCGCTCTTATTGATCGTATTGTGGTGTTATAACCTATAGCCTTCCCCAAAAACCGCTCTAACCAACACAATTTTTTTTTTTTTTAATCGAAACAATAGTTCCCGAGATAAGCGCGTTCAAACAAACAAACTCTTTAGCTTTATGTATCAGTATTGATTTACACATGTACTCACGCCAAAACTTTTCCTTCGTACTCCAAAAATCTACGCAACACATCCTGATGAGCAGCAGCTCGTTGCGGAGGCGGAACCGACTTCCACCTTTCTTTCTTCGTATATGGGTCTTCTGGTAGCGTTTCTTCTTTCGACAATTCTATACCTTGAGATTCTAACCATTCCTGTAAAGAACATCCAATTTTTCTATTTAGTAACTCAGAAATAATTGTACATTTATTTTATTGTATAAGTAAACATGTGTGGTAGCAAACATTGGTTTTAATGGAATTTCTTCGTATCAAATGTATTACAAATTGTCATATTATACGGATGCCGCTAGAGTTATCACATTTAATACAATGTGGCTTGGCAGGTGCTGACCATATTTGCAAAATTTTATTAAAATCGGCATCGTAGGTTGGGCGCAATAAAAAACACTCGATTTTTGACACACAATTTCACAAAATTGCGGAAAGCGCGTCAAAAAATGGTCACAACATTACACAAGGTGTATTGAAATTAAATTAGTATGAACAAGGACTTGAAATTTGAGGAAAATAATTTTTGTTTTTGAGAAATAGTTTTATAACAATATGTATAACGTATTTTATACATAGACCGGCATACAGCTGTACAAATAACACAGTTTTGACATATGTATGTGTATATTTCGGCATTCTTTCATATGCCTCCGTGGCGCAATTGGCTAGCGCGTTCGGCTGTTAACCGAAAGGTTGGTGGTTCGAGCCCACCCGGGGGCGATATTTTTACCTTATATGGTATATAAAAAATATATACTTAATAGATAATATAATTAAGGACTGTTAGCTATTAACACTATAACATTCCGTTGCAAAATATATTTTATACAAGTAACGCCTTCAAAATTTGCTTTATTCATTTTTAATTGAAACTAGATAAAACTTCACACGCCACTGTTAATAAACGAAATCTTTTGAAGAAGTATTTGCTACAAATTATATAACAGGAGTGTGGAATGCTGCAAGGGAGTGTAGACTAACGAGCTCCTACGTAAAACCGATATTTCTACGTTAATATAAAATATCAGCGTCAAAACTTTATGACAGTTGTAATCTTATTTTAATTTTGTTCTGTTTAAGTGCTATTTCAGTACTAGCATCAGCCACGTATCTTATCGAACACCAGATATTGATTGGTTGTTTCAATTGTGTTGACTCCGTGGTGCAGTGTGATTCGTGATTGTCAGTTTGTGGTCAAGGTTAGATAATATAGCAATCTCACTATATTCATCATAGTTAATAGATTACATAACAAGCATGACCTACGACCGTTGCCGTACGATTTTTTATAAGTGTAATCGTATGTAGATGTTATATAAAGTTATTATTAAATAAATTATACACGAGTATTAAAATTGGAGGATGTAAATAATTTTAAATTATGGTACAAAAACATTCAAGCAGGAAAATTTCATAGGCCACTAAAGCGGCCGCTATATACTCGCGTTTATGTTAACCTATTAAAAATGTTATTAAAAAGTAAAAAAAAAAATATGGCTTCCTTTTTCAATATTTTTTTCTGTTTTAGGTATTTGCTATTTTTTTACTAAAAATCGGCGTTGTGCCTACTTCGAGTGTACAACGAAAAACTGAGTGGTATCTATACATACATCTATTTAATTAATTATTTTATTATATTTTTGTGTGTGGAAATGATTTGATTTGAAAACCTGTTTAATAGCGATATGAGTATAATTAAGCCAATTGCAATGTTATCGTAATTATTAATAATATTAAATAACGATAAAGTGTGCTCTGTGGCCGTACGCACTAAGCACTTATCGGTATTATTATTTAAGTTACTCTGCGAGCATCGCGACGCGTCGCCGGCGCAGTTCTGTGACCTCCGTCCCTCTAACGCGAGTGCAAGTTGTGTGACCAGAATTATTTAAAAAAATCAAAATGATTGCTCTATCTATATCAAATCCTGTGGTACAGGCGTTCATCGTGCATTCCGCCATTTTGGGGATAAAAGTGTTGGCCATGAGTGGCTTGACAGCTATCGCGCGGATGACAAAAAAGGTGTTCTCAAATCCAGAAGACGCTAAATTCCTTAAGGGAAAGGTGAAATTCGACGACCCAACTGTGGAGAGAGTTCGTCGTGCGCACCTCAACGATTTAGAGAACATTCCTGTGTTTTGGGTCCTTGGGGCGTTATATCTGACCACCAATCCCGCAGCAGCGTGGGCTATTTTGTTATTTAGAGTGTATACAGTCTGTCGAATTGTTCATACATTAGTTTACGCTGTCGTACCGTTGCCTCAACCGACGAGGGCCATTGCCTTTTTGGTCCCAGTTGTTATCAAATATTATATGGGAATACAAGTTGTTTTATATTACATTACAGCTATTTAAAATGTGCTTGTATATAATTCAAGGTTAATGGTTCTTTTTGTTTGCTATTTTTAAGGATGACTTGTAATTTATAAAATGATAATAAAATATTTTTGCTTAATTTGTTTTTCACTCAAATACATTACGCCCAGAATTGAAAAAAAAATAAGGAACCGGTTTTCGCTCAAGGTTGACGTAGGTTAGACGCTGGGTAACTATTTACACAATACAAACCATACTTAGATAAATGATTTTCGCCCATTTTGTACGTAAATTATCCTACTACTATTATAAAGGCGAAAGTTTGTAAGTATGGATGTATGGATGTATGGATGTATGGATGTTTGTTACTCTTTCACGTAAAAACTACTGAATGGATTTGAATGAAACTTTACCACAATATAGCTTATACATCAGAATAACATATAGGCTACAATTTTTGAGGTTTTTAATGTCGGGTCGTAAAAAAAACACATTTTTTGCGCTTACATTGCAAACGCTGACTGAATCCTACAAGATAGATCAAAACAATGTACTACAGTATTGTACAACTTAAAAAGGTCTCCAAAAAAGTCCGTGATGGTATATGTTTATCTCTTAGGAATAACCCACAATAACCATTTTTTATCCTTTACTTTGTACGAGAAATAATGGCTTATTTACGAAGCGATTTTAAGCAATACAGTATTAATCCTTATCCAATTAAGTATCTTAAATACATTGTGCATTTATTAAAGATCAATATGGCTTTTTACAGCATGTAAATTAAATAAATATTTTCGAAGATATCACAGATTTAAAATACAGAGTCATAGGAATTTCGGCGATAAATACCGGCAGCGGTGCCAGGCGAACAGGGCGTGGGGGGAGCGGGGTAGGTGCGGTAGGGAAGAAGTGGCTCATCGCTGAGTGCGCGACCCGAAATCGGGCAGACGCGTGAGGGCAGACGTCGTTGACGGTTGTGTCCGTTTTGCGAATTTTCAAGGCACTAGCGATTTGATAAAAACGTATGGTCGCCTACTTTTAGTTATATAAGCCTAAGGTTGTTATTGCCAGGTTTCTTTTTGGTTAGGAGTTACACGTACAAAAAGATACTTCATTTAATTCAATTACTATATAGATAGGTTAATTAAATAGGCAAGGATTGCATTAAAGTACAATCATAACAATAACTACCGTACTGTATTTTTTGGAAGTATAGAAACAACACGTACTTAAGAATTATGCCGCGAAAGCGTAAGTCTAATCTTTCTGAAGCTCTGATAAAACTCGAAATATGAAAGTAGCTAGACTTAACGAGACGTTTCCACAAGCCGAACTGCGAAGGCTTAAACAAGCAGAGCGTGAGGCAGCTCAAAGAGCTGCTGAGACACCAGAGCAGTCCCAAGATAGACGTCGACAGCATGCTGAGTATCTAGCATCTCAACGGGCTGCAGAGACACCCGAACAGTCTCAATCTCGACGTCAACAGAACGCTGAATATCTGGGATCTCAACAGGCTTCTGAGACACCCGAACAGTCGCAGGATCGACAGCATTCGATAAAACTGCATTTGAGTACGATGAAACTCTTGATTACGAAAGCCACAAGCTTATAAAAATAGAAGCGATGAATAAAGAATGCAGATTTTGCGGTGCTCTTAAATGGAAAGAGGAAGCAGGAGGCATGTGTTGTTCGGGAGGAAAAGTAGTTCTTCCTTCAATAGACGAGCCTGTTGAACCTCTTAAAGAACTTTTTTTTCAAATGAAACAGATGAGTCTCGCCGTTTTTTAAAAAACATAAAAATTTTCTCACGGTCAGCTCTATGTGGCTTGCTCACGTCTTTCCAAAGCGAGGAATCTGCATGTTTATGCTGAAGGAAAAAGATCGTTAAATGTAGTTTATAGGAGCATACTGCAGTAGCGACCTATAGACCTATGATTAGGGCTCTGCAGTGCTTAGTTACCGTATTTCTAACTGATTACTAGACTAGACGGGACGAACCTGAAGTCCACGCGAACGAAGTCGCGGGCAAAAGCTAGTCTTAAATAAAACTTACGTAACCGCGAAATGTTTGAGGTATTGTTATTTTTTATGTTGCTCGTGATTTATAGAAACAAAAAAATATCAGCCACAGATAAATACAATATTTATAGAATATAAATATGTAATAGTTCTAAATTCAAAACATACAAATGACATATTATGAAGTTAGATTATAAAAAGGTTTATGGTTTATGCCTCGTGAGGGACACAACTATGTTTGTTGTGATAAACGAGAGTGGCACTTACTAACTTAAATGTAATTAGCCTATAATCGGTAAATGCACGTTACTAAAATGATTACTATTACTACGAGCGAAGGTCGTACTTGAACATTGCACTGAACTGAATATTCAATCAAAATTATGGCATTATTGTTAAAGATTAAAATATCGCACCTTAAAAAAAACTGGAACGATTTGCTCGTTGGTTTGTATCATACGGTAGTATTTATCACAACAAGGAAAATGATATTAAAATTTTTTATGACATAATATAGGTAATATCAAGAATTGTAGCTTTGATATCATTAAGCCAAAATACTCTATATTAATATATAAAGCTGAAGAGTTTGTTTGTTTGTTTGAACGCGCTAATCTCAGGAACTACGGGTTCGAATTAAAATAAAATATGATTGTGTTACTTAGAGCATTTATCGAGGAATGCTATACATCACCCTGTGATTAATACAAGCGAAGATACAACGGGACATGTGAAAACAATGGGAAAATTATATCATTAAGCGCTACCGAAGCGTACGCTGTAAAAATGGTTCAAGATACCGAAAAAATATATATCAAAGGATGATTCCTCTTTAAATGACCTAAACAAAAGTCCGCGATGCTATTTACTCGGTATTTTAGTGCAATAGAGAGTGACAAAATTGCAGAGCACTGGAAATGCACGATTTAGTATCGTCAGTAGTTTATGCGAGCAGCCAGTATATTGCAACCAGGTCGTAGTTTAAATAAATTGTAAATATGTTATTTCGCATTTGCAACCGTTATAAGCGTTTTCCTTAAATGCATAATTTGTCAAATAACAAACTAACATGAAACACTGAGCATTAATATTTTTACCAAATATAGTGAAAAAAACGGTGATAAACACCGAAAATACGTAAATTCACAACCATGTATAACGCAAGACGACGAGTACTTGAAAAGTCAACAACAGACAGTGTGAACATAAATAACGCTACAGAATCCAGTCATGTGCTAGCCACCGCGTGGACTGCTATATCAGAATGACTTGCACAAACACGCGGACATATCCTTGGATGTTTATACACTGCGAGTGTATTCTGACATCATTCAAACCGCAGCACGCGAGTCGACGAGTCGCTTCACGCAATCGATAGTCTAAATATACAGAATGGTGCCGGTCACGATAACAGAACCCGCGGTGCGCTCCTTCCTGTTTTACTCCGGCGTGCTGGGCCTAAAAGTCCTCTCCATGGCGTTCCTGACTGCGAGACAGCGGCACAAGAAGAACGTGTTCGCGAACTCCGAGGACGCAGCCATGAAGAAGGGCGTGGCTGTCGTTAAATTCGACGACGAGGACGTGGAGCGGGTGAGGCGGGCTCATTTGAACGACCTCGAGAACATTCCACTCTTCTGGGTGCTCGGAGGCTTGTATCTGACGACTGGACCATCAGCCGCGACAGCTATAACTTTGTTCCGCGTATACGCCGCGGGTCGTATTTTACACACAATTGTGTACGCGGTCAAGCCGTTGCCACAGCCATCTAGGGCTATCGCGTTCGGTGTACCCCTTTTTATTACATTGTACATGGGAGTCCAGGTCGTGTCACACTACATCGCAGCCTATTAAGAGTATTTGAATATATGAGTGAGAGTTATATCGTGTCAGTGATAAGACAAAGACGAAATAGCATAGCGCATTGTTAAGTAATAGCATAGCATTTATTATTTGTTGTAAGTTCTGTTAATAAAATGTTTTTACAAATACTATTTTATTTATTTGTATTCTGTACCCGGTAACGATAAAAATGATATGGTATCTGGATATCAAAAGCAATGTATTAAAAATTGATGAAATTGACCTTGAATAGTCAGTCAAGGTTATATTTAAAGATTTCAAGTGTCTTGGCACTTTAGCAGTCACTTCATAGAATAAATATGCCACGATTTTATAATATGGCCGGATTAAAATGTAATAATATGTGAATATTAAACAACGTGGTCAAAGTGGCTGCTGCAAAGCATCCGAAACGTCGGGCCAAAGTTTCCCATTTTCAAATCAGTTTAACTAATATATCGCGTTTTAAACCGTTAAAGCGTTTTATTTAAATGTGTACTACTCGCGTAAACTATAGACAGTATTTAACACTTAAATATAGTTATCGGTAAATAAAGTTATCGGTAACATACAATATGTTACCGATAACTTTAAGATACTTATTTTTATCAAATACGTATCTTAGATATCACCAAGGAAATAAAATACATAAAGCTCTTGAAAATACATTTCAGTCATAACGTTTAATGGCACACCTAAACTGTGAATTTTCATTTTATTTCACCACTTGTTGAGAATTTATAACGAGCAGAATTAGTCAAATAAATTGGTATGTATGGTACGTAAATTATTATATAAGCAAAAGTATTAGGTACACGATTTGTAATAATTTCAAATTATTATAAATTAGTTATACCGTTCTTGAGATGCAGCCTAGTGACAGACAGTGAAACAGATAAAAGTTCGATCAAAAAGTAATATTCTTCAAGACTTCTTTCAAAAATCGAACCTTTTTTCTATGTTATTTTTGCGAAAACATTGATAGGACTACAGTAGAAAAACCGCCAAAGCTACCGTCACGCCATAAACACATTTACTCTAAGCCCACCGACCTGACTTTTGGCTTTATTCTAAAAGCCATTCAACGCTTTTACGACACCCATTCGCTTCACATTACAGCTTCGATAATGCGAAAAAGAATCACATTTGGAATTTAATACGCATTATTAAGATTATTGTGAGTAACAAAAAATACCAGCTACTATTTAATCGACAGTACTTTGTTTAATCTCTGTAGCAAACGGTTAAACGTATTGCCTAGCATTGCGTTGAGCGCCAGAGGTCCTGAGTTCGAATCTCGGGGAAACAATAGATTGTTTCGGTCGGGCTGGGCACAAAAATCGGATCCACTACTTGCCTGTTAAAGTACGGATCAGTGAAACGAACACAGAAATGTGTTCGCCTCATGCCCCACGGGACCAACAATTGTGTGTCACTAGTGGCATAAACTTGACAATAAAGGTCCTAAGTTATATGGTAGAGTAACTCTAAAATTGGCCTTTACTGTGCATCATATAGGCACCTAACTTTAACAATTTACCACATCGGACCTATTTTACAAAAACATTGTATTATAAAAAGCATCAGATTGATTTTACAAACAAAAAATACTTTTTTGTCACCACAGTATTATAAAATAAGATATATAATAATTAGAAGAAATTCCAAAAAATGTAGCGAGAAACGGGGACCCCTTCTCGCTAAATTGCGATTACTTCCAGCCTCCTGGCAATCTTAGAAGATGAAGATTTACAATAATAATTAATAATAAGGGCAACACTAGAGATGTACTAAGTTTATACACTGCTAAAAATGTTCTTAAAGTTTAACTTAATAATTAAAATAATTTACATAATCAAACATTATATGATGTGTCCCTGGAAATCGAAGCTGGAACTTAACGCATCGCTAGACAACACGTTTAATCGTTGAACCTTGGCATCGGTCAAGCTGAGTACGTGGATATACAAAAGTAACTGACCTGTTACATATATACAGAGTACTAGCCTAACCAAGCCAACAATAAAACCACAAAAAGTAATCTAGACTGCTGACATTTCTCTCAGGCAAGCTATATGTGGTTTAGGAGCTAGTTTGAGTTATATTACAATCAAAATACTAAAGATAAAACCTTCCCTCTAAGTAATGAGAGTTAAGCGAAATTGAAGTATTTGAAAAACCGCAAAAAGGAATGAATTAATAGTAATTACGACTTACTTTTGCCTGTAAGTATATATTTTGTACATATTTACTACTTTCCATTAGCCGTAAATAAAATTAATTTATTACAATTTTTTCTATAAATAACTGTAATAAAGCCTTGTTATATTTATATCTTACCCAATATAATATTAAATAATGATTACTGTTTTTCTGATGAATACCTATGAATCTTCGTTTCTGCTTTTCTTAGTCGAAATTATTAATTTCTAGATTTATCAGGTGACAACATCTCTCGAAAAATTTATACCAATGAATAAACAAGCCCCGATGCAAAGGTATATTTCGTTTTTGTAATATAAACCGATAATATACTACTAAACATAATTCCTCTACCTAGGTATAACTATTTTGAGTAACATGATTACTGGATCTTTAAAGACTTTGCATTCTGTCACTGACTAAATAAAATATTATTTCTGTTGCCGCGACAAATACTAATAACAAAAAAATTATAATAAATCAGTATTCAGCTTCAAAACAAACAATGCCTATTTTTCCTTTTGCTTAAAATTATTAAATGGGACGGTAACAGGTACGTATTAATAACTTCATTTTAAAAGTAATATTACAGTTGCTTTATATTTAAAATACTTAAATGTTGACACATATTTACTGATTATTATTAAATGTAAATGGAACATAAATCCGTATCGACTCATGTATCTGTCAATTTTGAAAATTGACAACTGATCTTAACTTTGACGTTGACAGCTGACGGTCTATTCGGCCAAAACAAACGATTCTAACCTACAAATCAATAATTGTTTTGATAACTGTACATTGATACAATTTAAATAAAACGGGATAAATAAACGTGTAAGTAATTTTAGATTTATTAATTATTTTACGTTGTTAAGTCAGCTTGACATATGTAGGTTAAACAAATCGGAACTTTCCAAAATCAATTTAACAATAATTAATAGTCTTCAAACATCAAGTAAACTTCTGACACTAAAATATTATTTTCTAAAACTAAAGAGTGTGTTTTAATTATTTATGTTTACAAAAAAAATAAGTTTAAGTACTAATTTAGGGTATTTTTTATTTGTCTTATCTTTCATACAATTATATATTACGATTTGTGTATATAATATAATAAGTATTATTATGGCAATAAACATTTGTTAACTACTTTGTTTGGATCTAATGTACATACATTAATAAATGATATTGATAACGAATTTATTAAGAGCTACAGTTGTTACGCGAATGTTAGACATTAGAAGGAAAAAATAGATTTTTTATTTATAACTTTACAACTAAATTATACAATAAAATATTTATAAACAAAAATCATAAATACCTTAGTAAATAGATCACAGGAAACAGTATGAAAGACTTTTCCGTAAATACAAATGTCCTTCCCTATATCGAGATCTTTCCAGTGCCAATATTCACCGAGGTCATTCTTAGGTATTTTTCCTCGTTTCACCATCCTACCTTGCCACAGGCCCGAATTCTGAAAAATATTATTGCTTGTAGTTTACGCGAGTGGTACACACTTAAAGTTACACACAAATTACTGAAGATGACAAAAATGTTGACATCTGAAACGTCGGTACGTAGTTAAAAATTAATTGTAAAAAAATTAACTTACACATTTCGAACCTAAACGGTTAAAAACAGCATTTTATTTCAATATTGCGTTGTTGCTTAGTGAATATTTCTCTTTCAATTTTCATTCAATCATCCGATGCATTGGTTGGAAAAATAATAATACAATAGGAAAATCTGGTATTATGGAGTTGACGAGACAGGAAGGCGCTCAGCAGTTAGTCGGCTGCAGAACAAAGCCAATCGCTGCCGCCTCACATGCCATTCAAATGTAGACAAATGCATGCTCATTTGCTTACTCCATACCAGCTTTGGATTCAATTCAACTTACCAAAGCCGTATTCGGATGTTCGTTTCCTCATTAAAAATTCAATTCATATTTAATTAAATAAAACTACTTTATAAACTGTCTACGATACGTCGAGCCGTAGTTATAAAAAATTTCAAATAAGTTTAAGTAATATCGCATATAGTATATATCGCATTTTAAACCGTTAGTGTTTCATATAAAACTACTTTACATTAGTTAAAAAGCAAATTATATTTAAGTTAATTAATTTTAACCTGCTTTCGGGGTGCATCAAAATTAAAGTGTACACGGAGGTAGTAAAAATTTACTTAATTTACCATCACACCTCTATATTTAATACATAAATATAACTATAGTCATAATACTATGTTATATAAAATAAATAATTTTCTTTTTTCTTTGTCTATAAAAATAAAAAAAATTGTTTCGCGCTATTCTGTTGTGTGAATGATTTTATTTAGGAACGTGAAATAGAATAATATCATTCTTTAAAAAAAAACAAATATTCACTACCATAATCCAAAACATAACTTAAATTATATTAAACAGGTCGTACTCGAAATTCTTTTCGGTTAACGAACTACCGCCCACAAATGAAAAAGCCATCAAGTTTAACCTCGTTTCTGTTTTAATCTATAGATTTCCAAATATCCAACGCCGAAATAGGTCGACGCCATCTTGTTTAAATGTTATACAGATTTCACCTGCCATCAAAAAGCAAGACGGATTACCAACCGATATCGAAGTGGCTTTTTAAACACATATAATAAAATGTCTTTTAAAAGTAGCAAATTTATTTATTACGAGTTAGCTGCATAAAAGTTAATATTTCATAACTGCCTACAGCTTTTCTGAGTGAGCAGTTTTAAAAGAACTCAGTCGAAAGTATTATGCGTTTCGTTGTCTATGCCATGAATGAGCTCGTCTTCTTTTATGCCTATTCTAAAAGCAACATTTATAACAAAGACTTGGCAACAGTTGCTAAATCGTATTTATTTCTCAAGAGCGTTATTTTCATTTTGCGATTTAAAAATGTATAAGTTAACAATCACTAAGCAGTGATTGTTAACTGTATAAATTATTTTTTAAAGTCGTTACTCGTTACGATAACAACGATTAGCTTTTAATTTTCGCATTTAAACCGTTAAACGACTCATGATTACGCGATTGATACCTATACCATCAAAAATGTATTGTGACCATCTGTTCGTGTTCGTGACAATAACTGCTGTAAAATATCTACTTCAATCCGTTTATTTCTTTAGCAAAAATAACAAATAATTTTGGGTAGTACAAATCATTTAAGTAAAATATTTTACGCGAAATATTCTTTGCATCATCTGAAACGTCGGGCAGTAGTCAATTAAAAATAAGTTAACGTTAAAAATATTTCGCGTTTTAAACCGTTCAAACTGTTTTAAATGTGTACGACTTACATGAACTACAAATACCTACTAAGCTTAATTCAATCGACCGAAGACATATATAACTAAAACTTAATAAATAATTAGAAGACGTCTTTGTTTTCGCTTATTTTAATTTTAAGTTAAACTAAAGTTAAGCAAAGTTTGTAATTAACAACTTCAAAAGACTCCGCAAACAGACCGCGTAACATTTTCTGGCTTTACTCTCTTACTTAGATTTTCCAAAGAACTTGCATTGTTTGGAAACCAAGTTACGTGTAGTAAACAGTAGATAAGTTTTTCTAATATATAATTGAGATAAATATCTCTATTACTAAACCATAATATTTATGATCATAAACAAACTGCTTTTAATTTTAAATACTGTCTATAGTTTACGCGAGTAGTACACATTTAAATAAAACACTTTAACAAAAGCAAAACTTTTGATTAAAGAAAATTAAAAGCATTTAAAATTTAAATAAAACATTTTAACGTTTTAAAACAACGCTTCGCCAAATATCAACTACGGCGGAGCAGATGGCGCTAGCGTAGCAGGTTTTACATTTGAGATTAGAGACCCCCCATCTTGAGTCTCCCCGTGACCGCGGCTGCTGCAAAACATCCTAAACTTAGGGCCGTAGGTAAAATAATTTTCAAACAAGTTTAACTAAAATATATCGAGTTTTAAACCGTTAAAATCTTTTATTTAAATATATTCTTAAATTATATATTTGTTTAACAAATAAATGCGTATTTCCTTTAATTTTTAGCGAATATAATAACATACAAAGAGTTACGTTCAACTACTGACGTAAATAGTCCGCTCTTTAAGCCGTTAAGTGTTTCATTCAATTCGTAGGTTTATAAGCGACACTGCTGAATGATTTCTCGATTTTTACTGATTGAACTGTCAATATTTCGCCTGTTTCATTGTATATCGTATCAGCCTTATCACATCTCGTCCCTGACGTAAGCTCTGATCTAAATTGCTTACTCATTATATGTACGCGAAACGTCGAATGTATTATAGTTATCGCGTGGGCGTTCCGAATAGCTTTTGTATAATGTTGCAAAATATATTCACCGAGTATTATTATCAATGACAATGCAAACATTTACGTGAAATAGGGGGAACGATAACATATACGTCATACGTTTTATCTACGTCACTAATAGACAAAAGATACCTTAAATCTATTTCAATGCGACAATTATCAGTCCTACTTGTTCGCACAGCTGGGATAGAGGAATCCACAGGTATATTTTGACAGGCCTGTTCGTGTAATGGTAGCAATTTAAGGCTTACAATCAACGGTGTGCGGGTTCGATCCTCAATCTGGTCCAACATTTTTCTAATTTAATCATTCATATCAGTAATATGTAAAGCTTTGAAAGAGTTTGTTCGTTAAGGTTTGTAAGAGGTTTGCTAAAACGAATTTGGATTCCCGAAATAACGATTCTCGCGGACGAAGTCGCAAACACAGCTAGTCAATTTATAATTTTCCTGAATGTTGGAATTCGTCTTAGAAATCTGGATATTATATGGGTGGCAGGACTATGGAAATTCTCTCCGGTTCACGAACCACATATGAAAAAGCTGTCAAATTTAATCGCGTTTCGGTTTTACTCTGCAAATTTCGGTATAATCAAAGCCAAAATAGGGCAACAGCATATCTTGTTTAGGGGTTATATGTCTGGGGTGTTTTACCTACCATGAAAATAATATAGAATATTCTGCCACAAAATTTTCCTATTTTTAAAATTATACAAATGGAAATAGTTTTGTAAAGACTGAGAGTCGAATTTCCGGCCTCACAAGCGCATACGTTGGGTAAAAAATTTGTTGGTATAAGAAAAGTAATTAGTTTGTTGTAAACTCTGTTAAGTCGAAGTAATAATATAATTTACGACGGTTTCAAAAGCTCTTATTTTATATCTCGCACGTGGCTCCTGCGGTCTAAAAGTCACGATTTACGATTACGAGTATGTTATGTTTGAATTGTAATAAAACTTTGTTGTGTGTGGCATGGGGTTAACACACTTCTGTGTCGAATATGTACTTAAGAGACTCTTTTGTACAGCCCGATCAACTATTCGAACCCAGACCCCATCGCTTTTTTGTCTCGGAAAACGTTCTTTTGCCATTTGCAGGAGTATTTTGACCAAAATTTGATAACCAAATAAACGTTTAAATACAACACTTTTACGGTTTAAAACGCGATATATTTTAGTTAAACTTGTTTGAGAAATATTTTTAACGACTTATAACAAGTTTTACTACAATATATCGCGTTTTAAACCGTTAAAGTGTTTTATTTAAATGTGTACTACTCGCGTAAAATAAAGACAGTATTTTACCATATAGACGGTTCTTGTTAATAACCTTAAAAGATAGACATAATGTCGTGGCCTTTTGTTTCACATTAATTAAAAGGAAAGTAATTAATTATTTTTAGTATATATTCCCTCGCAACTAATTCCCTTAACCCTCAAAACTGAATAGGTTTCCTCATATTTCCCATTGCTTCTTCGCTCCTCTAAGTTGTAGCCTGCTTTTTTCTACCGTAAAACCTTCCTCGATAAATGGTCCAATACAAAAACAAAATCCATTCAAACCAGTAGTTCCTAAAATTAGCGCGTTTAAACAAGCCAAAAAAGTCTTCAGCTTCATAATATATTCGTATAGATTATAAATGATAGAATAACATCTAAGTGAACAACAGCGCGAAACGCGTGGCTAGTGCTTTCGTCTTATGTCTGTTCTCAAACCTCTAAAATAATCGTGAATGTAATAAACGAATGAGTCTTTTACCTTCAAGTAAAACCTTTGCTTATTTTCCCCCTCTCTTCTCATAAAGGAAATTGGTAATATTTAAAATAGAGTATTTTCATGCTAATACCTTAACTCTCGGCTCCATAATAGTGAGAGTGTCATCTTCGAGAAAATAGACGATGTTGACGACGCGAACTCTGTAGTGTTCGTCTGGATTGTCGTAAACAGGTTGCTTGAAGAACGCCGTAAAGTTGAGACAACGTTTGTCGTAATGAACCCAGTGTGGGACCACGGCTGGTAAAGCGGCTTGTTTCACTCGGCCGTATGTCAATGATGGATCGTAGCTGAAAAAGAAAACGGTTTATTAAAGGAGTTGAGTGAAATCTCTGACGAAATAATTTCGTTTCAAATAATGTATTGTATGTAAGAATTGTGTTAACGTTTCACTGATCGATGTTCTTTAGAAGCAATCTTTTGTATTTTCAGTCTTCGAACCTAATACCTCTTGTGCTTAAAGTAATAAGACGGATATTTTCCTGCGTCCGTTTCACAAATCGATTTTTGACATCAGGTTCTGACCATAAAGTTACATACATAGATGCTATCTATAGTTTACGCGAGTAGTACACATTTAAATAAAACACTTTAACGGTTTAACTAATATATCGCGTTTCAAACCGTTAAAGTGTTTTATTTAAATACATACATAGATTCAAACCTGTTGCATTAAGTAGAATACTAGGCTCTGCGCTCAACCATTGAGCTAACTTATTGGTTGAACAGTAATAATACAAGCTTCTATAACGTAAAAGTAAATTAACTACTAAAATTTGTCGAGATCGTTTGTATGCAATTTAATATGGATTATTTTCTAGCAGGTACTTTTTTTGTAAATAAGATTGTTTAGCGGTAAAGTTAGATACTCTGTCGAAAACTAAATCTGTAAAAATCTACGAAACGACCGGTGGATTCAGCAGGCCGATTCTCGTATTAATATAAGTTAAGCAGCAGCGCAGTTGCAGTGACGTTTTGTTGTTTTGGTATTCTCGTCTAACGTCAAACACGTTCGCGTCAAGTTCGCGTGACGCTAGCGCGTATTCCGTATTCTGTTGCCGAGCGTCACTGCAACGCGATTTGGATCGAAACGAAATCGGTATTCTGTTAACTCATTACAATCGCAACTGACAGAACACTGCGACTTCAAACCGATTTCATTGAAGCGAAGCTGAAGTGACACAATACTTCAATATTTGTTCACTTCTTTAAATAAAAGGACTAATATTTTCGTATTAATTATACATTTCGTATAATAATTTTCGTTACAATGAGTTTGCAACCATCCTTAAGAGTAATACCAATAAATAAATAAAAGCCAACGAGAATGAGAGAGAAAAAAAGACATAAATTACAATGATATCAAATACTAACACGACAGAAAACGTTAACACACTAAAAAGTAAAAACTTAAAAGATTAAACTTAGATCTAACAAAGATGCATAAATAATAAAAGTATAAGCCAATAAAATATAAAATAAAAAAAAGCTAGAACTGAACAATACTTTGAAGAAAATATTGTTTGACTTTGGCTTTGAAGGAGTTAAGACTTTGTGAGAGTCTAATCACGGGTGCTTATTCCATAGGCGGACAGCCTGTACAGAAAAAGAAGAGTCATAGCATTTAGATGAATGAGTAGGCATAGAAAAGAGACGGTTGGAGGAGGAACGAACGTCAAGTTCATGGGAAGAACCCATAAATATAAACCTTTTTTTAGATAGGTAGGAGTGCGCGGATAAAATAGAATAGAGAAAAGAAGACAGAGGATGTGAGTGTTTCGTCGGAGTCTAATAGACCCTTCGAGTTAGGGCGGAATTTTGACACGTGGTCGTATTTCCGTAGACCATAAATAAATCTAATTGAGAAATTTTGAAGCCTCTCCAACTTATTTATTTGTTCCTCAGTTAGCCTATAGCACTAGCCTTTTATGCCACTGGGTCTTATCAAACACTAGTGGGATAAAGTAAATACCACTGTGTTAGTAAATCCACCATATCGAGGGTAATAAGGCAAGTTACTAAGGCTTTAAATAATCACACCATTTTTCTTTGATTCTGTGACTCATTACTGAAAATATTTCTTATAGGAATTAGATAACTAAAATTAATCATAAAATAATAATTCTGTGGCTCTAAACAAATTATACACTTGCTTTTGGGCTATTTTTAAAGACCTTGATAAACGGCAGTTATAAAGGTCTTTAAAAATCGCGCCATCTTCACGAAATTTATTCTTGTCAATTGTCTAAGATTGACACAAGTCCGAATTATAATATTCAAAATAATCTTAAATTATAATGCAAAAAAAATTTACAAACAACCAAGAGATGTTTAAAATGTTTTTAAGACTTGATATTTAAAAAAATATTATTAAAATACCACAATTTCTATAAAAACATTATTTGAGTAATTAGGGTTTTTCTATGTGGTCACACCCCTCATTGTTTCCCTGACGTACGAGAGACGCACAGTTTACGCGCAGTTGACGCGAAGTTTTAAAATTAGGAGAATACCGTTCGACGCTTAATCGAAACTTGATCGCAGCGTCACTGCAACTTGATCAAAACGTCATTGAATTAGTAGAATCGGCCTGCTGTTGGCATAAGGTGAAATACCTCAGCCACATAACATCTAAACAACGAAACGTCAACCGAAACGTCGGGCCGAAGTTAAAAATCATTTTCAAATAAGTTTAACTAATATATCGAGTTTTATTCATATGTGTACTACTCGCGTAAACTATAGACAGTATTCTTCTAATTCATTAAGTAATATATACAAATTTAAATAAAACACTCTTAACGGTTTAATACGCTAAATATAATAGTTAACTTGTTTAATTGTATTTGCACTATGGCCTGACGTTTCGAAAACTAGAAAACTAATATAATTCTCGTTTTAAACCGTTAAAAGTGGTTCATTTTAAATAGATCTAAATTTATCCTATTCCATGAAACTAATTATTTTGTTGCTCAACATGTTTATTGGCAGTTAGAATGAAAGAGTAAGTAAATGACGTAAATAATATAAAATTTGTTATACTAGCGAAAACAAATTGGAACAAGCAAAACAAGGGTCAATTAAAACCCGCCATACTTTAGTTCCTCGCGTGATAGGAACGGTAATTATAATCAACCTCATTAGAATGATCCAGGTATTTTGATATGAACAAGATTTTGTATAGAAATAAAAGGCGCGTTGTAGTTGTTACACGCCTGTCATGTTATTTCATTGACTTGGTATAATTTTGTGTAAAAAGAACTTGGAAAAAACTTGGATCTACATATTTTCAAATCTGTGAAGGGAAATAGCGATTGAGTAAAATTTTTCCACAGTTCCCCCTGTACATACTAAACATTTTTTTTTTAAATAAAACACTTTAACGGTTTAAAACACGATATATTAGTTAAACTTATTTGAAAATGATTTTTAATTTCGGCCCGACGTTTCGGATGCTTTGCAGCAGCCGTGGTCACGGGGAGAGTCTCCGGGGTAAAAGTAATTTTCAAACAAGTTTAACTAAAATATATCGCGTTTTAAACCGTTAAAGTGTTTTATTTAAAGGTGTACTACTCGCGTAAACTACAGATAGTATTTAACTAAGCCGTCCTCACAATTTCTTATAATATTAGAAAACTGAACAGTATTCTCGTGTTTGTTTGAATGCGGTAATATGTATTAGGAATTATTGGTTCGAAGTGAAATATTATTTTTGTGTTGGTTGGACAATATAATATAAAATAACGTCAAAGAAACAGCGAGAAATGTAGGAAAACACGAGGAAATTTATTAATCTTTGCGTGCGCTACATAACCGGTTTAGGATACCCAAAAAATATAAGTATATATTTCCAACTTTATATATTAACTTTGAGACGGCGTTAAACCGTGGGTCCTGAGTATGACCACTAATATACTAGTCTATAAAGCTTGTCAACAAGCATGAAAACATGAAGGTTAGCTAAGCTCTTAAAAACCTCACAATTGCTGACCTGGGCCCACAAGTGGGATCACACCAGACACTGAAAATATGTACTAACTTTACTGAGTCCTCTGGTAAAGCAAACGCGTTGCTGTCCACATCAGTGTCTGTCCCCCCAGGTCCTCGAATCAAGGTGTCCGGAAATCGGTGCCCCTGATAGTAACGAAGCGAACTCCGAATGTGATATTGAGTCTTTGTAGGGTCAGCGAATGTCAACCCAGGCAGCTTCGGTAGTCCCCAAGCCATGATCTACAAAAAACTATAAAAGTAATGAATATATTAAAAAGTACAATCCAAAAACAATTTGCTTCACGCTATTAGAATGCGCTATTGTTGTCAAGTAAACATCTGTTAAATATAAACAAATGCGTTTCCATGACTACGACGCATTTTGGTGAAAACCGTTTTGGTTGCAGTTTGTTTGAAAGATTCGAGTAACGAAAAGTAACGCGTATCGATTTAATTCTATTTTTACTGTCAAAGTCGATATAAATATTACACTGTACCTCTTGCGTTTATAGGAGAGTAAAATATTATTTGAAATTAAAAATAGTGTTTCTTGGCACAGAGATAGGTTACAAATATTAAGAAAAACATGACTAACCACAGATTATAAAATCAATTCTTATATAAAACGAAACGCTGAATACTTTCAAATTAGGATATAAATATTTCTAGCTGGGGAATATCAGCCTACGAGTACTAAAGCTGAGTGGTGTCCCTCCACATACATGTATACTAATATATAAAGCTGAAGAGTTTGTTTGTTTATTTGTTTGAACGCGCTAATCTCAGAAACTGCAGGTTCAAATTGAAAAAATATTTTTGTGTTGGTTAGAACATGTATCGAGGAAGGCTATAGGATACAGCGGGAAATATTAACAATTAATATGGGGGATATTTTTCATCTGTGTGGTTTCAGATGCGTACGCTGCGAAAACGGTTCAAGATACCCAAAAAATATGTAGAAAAGAATGATTCCTCTTTAAATGATCTAAAAAAAGTCCGCAACGCTATACGTCTATCTTTTAAGGTTAACTAGTAAGAGCGACGGGAAGGGACACGACCAACGTCGTAGGTAACAGTTTAAGTTTTTAAACATGATGGGGTTTGTAAAAACGAATATGGTCGCCCAAAATAATGATTCTTGCTGACGAAGTCGCTGGCACAGCTAGTTTTATATATAAGTATGTGGAATAAATGATTTTTAATAACACTAATTTTTTTTAATAACTTCTATTGTGCAAGGTTTTCTTATTATTAAGCGTGAGCTCCTCCGTCTTAGTTCGCCCTGAGTAATTAAATCCTCCGAAGTTAAGACTATTTTCCTCCAATTACTCTAGTTAAGGCCATGACTCGGAAAGCTGCCACGTGAAGGAGTTGTTAACAGGATAGGATAAAAGATTGCAGACAGCCCAGGAACGAGATAGTGGGTAGCGTGACTTAGTCTTGTTGATTAATGGATATGTAAGACAAGCTGTTCCCGCGACACTTACCGTGTCGTATACGTATTTTGGGCATCATTTCTATTTTCGCAAACCTAACCAAAGGATATATTTCATTTTATAATAATTTGAATTCAGTCGATATTTTTTGTAGCGGGATCTCAAAATACAAAAGTTATATATCTTTTTAATAATCATATTTGATTCTAATCTTCTACTCTCGTGAACATTTTCTTTGATTTTAAGAAGCAATTATAAATATTTTTTTTCCTAAACCGTTATCACAATGCACGCAACAATATCACCTCAAAGATAAAAAAAAATCCCACCTGCTGTAAAGTATTCAGAATAAAGAATTCTACTTTTTCTTTTTCTTGCAATGTCTTCTAAATGGATTCTATGGAAGAAATGATAAAGCGCGATATTATAATTTATTGTTGTTTTTATTTTTTGATCACTTTTTTGTATTTAATCAACATGCATACTTTTTTATTTGTCCACACACGTATTTGAATGGAGCTAAAAGAAAAAATACAACTTAAAACAAACAATATTATATGACTAAAATAAAGAATTAACTAACATGACTCGTAACTCAAAGACTTTGAATAATCATCATTTATAGATAAATCAATTATTTTCGCCCTTGTAAATGTTTACAGATTACACATATCATTAAATTTTAAAAGTCATCATAGCGATTCGTCATTATCCAAAAAAACCATTGTCATTGATTTATCAAGTTTCATAAAAAAGTCATGGTAAAATTCTAAGTAAAATAACACATGTTCACATCGTTGTATAGTTGGATTATATTATAATGCTTATTATGTAAGATATATTGTCAATATAAAGAACACATTAAATATTTAAACATAGTATTTTATATATACATATTTATAAGTAAGTTAAATAAATAACATTATATAGACTCATGAGATGTGAAGATTAGTTATTTAAACTAAAGATATGCACTATTTTATTATAAAGAATAAAAGATGTAAAAAACAATATTATGAGCAGACAATCATTAAAATTAGTTTTTTATATGGTTTACAATATGGTATACAATTTGGAGATAATATCAATTGTATTGTCTTCTTTTTTTGACTGTGTTTTTCTACGAATCTATATTGTACATTCCTCTTTGCTTCCCAGTTTAGATATTTTTATGAGCATTGCCTCCGGGCACAAACTATTAATATGTTTCTCAATAACGTGTATCTCGCCATATATTTTGTTTAAATTAAACGCTTTAACGGTTTAAAACGCGATATATTAGTTAAACTATTTGAAAATGATCTCTCTCTCCCCGTGACCACGGCTGCTGCAAAGCATCCGAAACGTCGGGCCGAAGTTAAAAATCATTTTCCAATAGTTTAACTAATTTATCGCGTTTTAAACCGTTAAAGTGTTTTATTTAAATGTGTACTACTCGCGTAAACTATAGACAGTGTATATTTTGTTTCTTTATAAATCTAAAACAAATGATATAACCAGTTAAATGTTTTAAAACTTTTACTTTAGGAGTTGATTTATTGGATTTGGCTCTAGTTTTCGACATAAATTACTTTCAAGGCTTACAGAATGTAGACAAGTATTAACCTAATTTTAGGCCATAAAAACGATATATTTTTTGTAATAGAGGAAGACAAGTATGGGGCTCATTTCATGGAAGGTGATACATCCCAGCGATATAACATCTTAACTAGATGTGTTGTCGACTTATGTTGATTATCGATAGTCGGAAATCCACAGACTGAAACCGCTTTACATCTGTGAATGTTGGTTCGTGACCGAATGCCATTTAAGCAAATCCTACCACGTGTTTGATATCATTTTTTAGTAAGGAGGCACATCCAAAATATTTAATTTTGGATGTGCCTCCAGTGCAAAGAGAATTTTTAAAAGTATATTATGTTAATTATTCTAAAAAATATTTCACGAATTTCTTAAAACTCTAATTTATATCGCTTAACATCAACTGTGTGAACCGTTACGAACAAACATTTTATTTCTTCCTTCCAAATAATAATATAATGAAAACTGTGAAATAAAATTGTTATTTCACAAAACTAATTATAACACACATTACTATATTTAATTAGACTAACAACATTAAAAAATAAATAGGTTTTAACATTAGTTTAGTTGATGATTGTGGAATTGTATAGTGCACTTAAGTTATTGGTATCTGCGGTTTACGGGACTATACATAAAAAAAAACACTAATAACCATGTTAGTTAACTTTTTAACTAGTTAAGCAATTAACGAAGTAATAAACTACGCGGTTTAGCTAAGTGTTTTAACGTTTGAAAACTATATGATTTAACGCTGGCTATGCATGTTCAAGTCCTGCCCGAGTCGAGAAATATTTTCAATTTATTATCGATTTAAAATCATGCAGTGTTTTATTTAATACTTATTCATTTTTTAATAACTTAATATTATTCACACGTTAGTGCACACAATGGCATTATAGTATGAATTAAAAACCAACTTAGATCACAAGCTAGTAATCAACGGTAGTAGTCGTGGGTTGCTTTCCCACCGGGTCTAGTATTTTTCTAAACAATTTTTAATTTTTTGAAACATGTTGGGCTTCGTCTGGACATTTGGATATTAAATAGATGGTGGAACATCGAAATCCCGCCTGGTTCACGAACTACCGTCCACAGGTGAAAAAGACGTTAATCGCGTTTCGGTTTCTCTCTTATTTCTAAATATCCAAAGCCAAAATTTGTCGACATCTCGTACCTTGAAGTGAACCCCCATGGTTGTCTATAAAAAAAAATACTTCGTAACCACGGACCAACCAGGCAGCTAGAGTCGAGTATAATATAACTTTACTTTGCAGAACGAAATGGCGTGTCTACTAAAAATAAAGCGAAGTGGGTACCTGGCTCGTTTTCCACGCTCCATAAGTCGCCGTAGCTCTACCCTCGCGTATTCAGACGAAATACAAAGTGCTAAAAAAGATAACAAGCCGATTGTCGCTTTAGAATCCACTATTATTACACATGGAATGCCTTACCCTAAGAACTTGGAGACGGCCTTGGAAGTTGAAAATATTATTCGGGAGCAAGTAAGTATTTAAATACTGTCTATACACATGTATGTAGTACACATTTAAAACACTTTATCGGTTTAAAACGCAATATATTCCTAAAACTTATTTGAAAATGATTTTTTATCTTCGGCCCGGCGTTTCGGATGCTATGCAGCAGCCAAACGGGGAGACTCCCTTTTCAAATAAGTTTAACTAATATATCGCGTTTTACACCGTTAAAGTGTTTTATTTAAAAGTATTTATTTTACACTAGCTAAACCGGCAAACGTTTTGTCGTTTGCAATATTAATTATAAAATTGATACACTTCTAACAAAACTTCTAAAAAAAGTTACATACGGTATTCTAAAAAGGACTTTATTGTAATACAAACACTATCAATAAATAAGCCTTAGGCGTATGTTAAACAAAAACTGCTAGAAAAGGGTTATTATAACCACCCAGGAGGAACCCACTCTAACAAGGAAGAAGATGAGAAGAAGGAGCGGCGGCGAGTTATTTGCCAGTTCTTCTCGCTCGTTCTACGCCCTTTATTTGATAGTAAATGTAAATTTAGATTTTTTTAAACTATTTCGATGTTAGTAAGTGTACCTACCTAGATGAATATATAGTTTTTGTTTTTTTTTTTAACCAAATTTCATTACCATAAAACAGTTCTTGCGAGTTGTACAGAGGGCTGTTTAAAGCCTTCCTAAATAGAGAGTCCCAATACACGTTTTCAGTTTGAACAATAGTTCCAGAGATTAGCGTGTTCAAACAAATTCTTCAGCTTTATATTAGCGTAAGGACAAGTATGGGGCTTACTTCTATAGGTCGGTATGTACGGCTAGTAATCGAAGGGTCGTGATTTTGACTTCCAGAGAGTTTAACTTATATCAGTATTATTAGATTTAACAAGGCAAACTTTGTCTTCAAAATTGGGTAAGAAAATGGGTGGTAGTAATATCGAAATTCTATCCGCAACACGAACTACTGTGCAAAGTAGAAAAACCCGTGTAAATCGCGTATCAGTAGCTATTCTAGAACGTTCGGAAATTATAGCTCTACTACTAGCTATAATTTCCGAACTTGACTGTGCATCAAATTTTAATTATATAGGAAATATTTAACTTTCATTAAGTAAGCCCCTTGCTCGTCTGTCGTAAATAATATATACAGTTAAAAGGCGCCTGTTTAAACCTTAAAGTCTGTAAGACTAAATGCTTCAAAGCTTTTATTATAACTTAAAATGAAAGTACTAGCAATATTTTCAAAGTTAATTTCTTTTGTGTCATAAAATTTAAGCTCTAACAAGAAAATTGAGTACACGGGTATAAAGTACTCGTACATAGATGGCGAGGATGCCAAGAAAATTGTCAGCTTCTATTTCCCCTCACAATGTTATGAGATGGGATGAAGTTTAAAACTGGATTCAGCTTAAATTTAGCTTAGAAACTTGACGTTTAATGGAGACGCATTAGACTTGTTTATTGAGTTAAATCTTATGACCTCATGTGGGGTATGAGGCGATTACCTATATCTGATAATTATTTATATTGGGAGGTGAAATACCCCAGCCATATAACATCTAAACAAGATGTGCTATCGACCTATTTTTGCTTTGGATATTGGCAAATCCACAGACTGAAACCGAAACGCGATTAAACTTCACGGCATTGTCATCTGTGGACGGTGGTTCGTGACCCGGACGGAATATCGATATTCCTACCACTCATTTAATATCCATATTTAAAGACGAAGTAACATGTTTCAGAAAAATTACAAATTAATTAGAAAAATTTTCGATCCGGTGGGGTTCGAAACCCGTTGATTACTAGCCATTGCTAGCATAACACAAACGTGGCCTTCAAACTAATACAATTCGTTTTAAACCGTTAAAAGTGTTTTATTTTAAACATAAAATCCGTTATTAACAGATCTCACTTACGACACTCCTTACTCGCTAATTACGTGAGCCCATGAATAAACCAAATTAATTATTTTCTCCCTCCAGGGAGCCGTGCCGGCGACAGTTGCAATTCTCAAAGGGCAGATAACTGTGGGTCTGACGAAAACTCAACTGGAATACTTAGCGAGAGCGAAGGACGTCGTCAAGGCCTCGCGGAGGGATCTGGCGACAGTTGTCGCAGATAAACGAGATGGCGCCACCACCGTTGCGGGGACTATAATTACCGCTGAGCTGGCAGACATTCCCGTCTTTGTCACGGGCGGAATAGGTAATAATTATTATATATTAACTCGCAATAAAACTGAACTGTAAGTATCTTCACACGAATTAAGCTGTGTATATTCTCACTAGCTATGTCAGCGACTTCGTCCGTAATAGTTATTTTGGGTGACAAAATTTGTTTGTGCAAACCTCCTGTTCATTTCTATAAATCTAAGCTGTTACCCACGACGTCGTCCACATCCCGTCGTTCTTGCAAGATCATCCTAATGGATAGACATAACTGACGCTGAATTTTGCTCCTAATGAACGCAGCGTGAAGAATTACTCTCGATTGGTGGTCCAACCGAAAGCTCTAAAACAAAATTATAGATTTTGTAAATAAAACACTTTATCGGTTGAATATATTAGTTCGTAGTCACCCCCGTGACCACGGCTACTGCAAAGCATCCGAAACGTCAAGTCGAAGTTAAAAATCATTTTCAAATAAGTTTAAGTACTATATCGCGTTATAAACCGTTAAAGTGTTTTATTTAAATGTGTACTACTCGCGTAAACTATAGACAGTATTTAAAATTATAGATTTCCAAAAACATTTTTTTTAATTCGAACCAGTAGTTGAAGATATAAGCGCTGAACGCGCAATCAAACAAACAAACTCTTCGGCTTTATAATATTAGTATAAGGGAACTGTAAAGACAAAACAATTCTTAAATATTTTATTGTCTCTGATATTCGTAATATTTAGCTTAAAAGGGAAATAGAAAAAATCATACAAAATGAATCAGTAAACCAAAGACATACACTCGAATGTCCTATTTCCCAGATAGGGGACTTCTCTTGCATTTTCTAAAACGTTATATCAACTTAATAGAGTATTTCCCGTGAGAGGTCTTCTCATACGGATTACTCGTTGCCATGACGACAGATCGGTCACGTTTTATTTGTAACTAGTCGTCCCGGAGACTTCGCCCCCAACGGACGATTTGAATTAATTTTTACAATTACAATTCCTTTCAATACGTTAGATAAGCGATGGGTTTCGCAACGCTGGTGACGATAGATTTTTTTATTTAAGTTTTCGTTAGTATCCCCAATTTTTACTTTTTTTTTTAAATTGAAATTAGAGTTCTTGAGTATATCAATTACAAACATATACACAAATCTTAATGTTAATATTATATATATAAATATTATGATACTTTTTACTGAAAAGTGCTGACCGTCCCACGACCAAACGCATCTTCGTCTGTTTTAATGGTTAATAATTTTTTATGCGAGTCTCATTCAATATCAGACATTTTTCTGGGCAATATTTCCCTTTCCAGGATTACAAGCTAGGACCTCTCATACCTAGCTTATAACAACAAAGCCCAGTTATAGAAACTAAGGATTTTTTACCATTGGACCATAGATGCGGTCAGAAAGAATAAGCGAAATTAGAATAACTAAGTTAACTCAAAATTAAAAATCTATTATAAATGAAACATTGGTAATAAATATGTAAATTTAAAAAAATACGACCCGGGCAGGGCTTGAACCGGTATCATCAGCGTTTCGTGTTGTTGCTCTAACCAACTGCACCGAGTCCTTCACGTCACCGTCGACTTTTTTCCACCTACCTAGACATTTCTATGTTATTTCGGGATTCTAACGCAGGACCTCATGTTTATGCTATACTACACCTGTAACGATTAACCTACCACAATAGTCGTATAAATTACTACAATCTCAGCTAATAACATGCTGCATAGCAGCTGGTATCCAAATGAACTAGTCGCAACTAGTGCATCGCTCTTTTAGCTGACAATTATGCAGAGGAATGCTCGTGCACGTGCCACCGTTTCACGAATGTATTCAATTATAGGGCACAAAGCCAGCCGCCAGGGCTTCTGAATGATCTAATTTGCTTTGCATTCCAAATACACACACACATTTCGCTCACTGTATGTACGTTGATTGTGCATAGTTGAATACAACACTTTTAACCATTTCGGAAAATTTTTTTGTAAATTCGTAGGGCCGTTGTTAAAATAAATTGTATATGTGTGTGAAATCCAGCTACCCCCGCGTGGGGTATGGGGCGAACGTATTTCTTTGTCCGTTTCACTGATCCGTTGTAACAGGCAAGTAGTTGATTAGATTTCTGTGCCCTGCTTGACTGAAACATTTTTTTTTTCAATGGGATTCGAACCCAGGATGTCTCGCGCTTAACGCAATGCTAAGCAATACGTTTAATTGGCTACAGAGGCGGTCAAAAATGAAATTATATATAAGTTTACTAATATATTTCGCGTTTTAAATCGTTTAAAAGTTATTAAATGTACTAATTGCATAAACTACAGACAACAACAATACTTATTTAATCATCTAATTAAATTTAAAAATTAACACACGCCATCGTCGAATTTCTACTACACACTATATGCATCATAATTATAATACTGAATATTAATTTACGCCTAGCTGAGTTTAATTATGTTACTATCACACTTGTACGATTTGAATCGTAACAGCTTATGTTTCGTGATCACAGCTTAATTATTATTATACTATGTCAATCATTATTATATTTATATGAATATGGCGGTTTATACAAACTCTAGCTGACCTGTAAAGTTAAGCATTGCCCGCGACTTCGTCCGCGTAGAATATTTTGGCCATGAAAATTTTAATTCGAACCAGTAGTTCCTGAGATTAGCGCGTTCAAACAAACTCTTCACTTTTATAATATTAGTATAGATAAAAAGAACCTTAAAATTAAATATAAACTTTACGAAACAGACATATATTTTTTTTATAAAACACTTTAACGGCTTAAAACGCGAAATGAATTAGTTATTTAAGTTTTCTTTTATATTAATTTAGCAATAGCCAGCATTTAAACATCAGAAGCACCCTCCATGTTCTGTCCCTCCCTGACCAGATATGATAACCTGATAGTTAAAATAAATTATAATAAAGTTTAGTTATATATTTCGGGTTATAAACTTTTAAAAGTGTTTTATTTAAATATTTACTAAACAATACAGATAATACGTATTTTTTTGGAAATCTAAATTAAATAAAAATGAATTATTTTGGAAGAAATGAGTTGACGCAGCGAGAGTCCAACCCACGTGCAACACACAGGGATACATACTTAAGCAATTTTGGATATACAACAATAAAAAAAACAACTTTTTAACCATCTAAGATATTACGTTTCTGTAATAGTTCACATTGAAAATTATAAATTCGTTTAATAAACAGAATATAAGCTCACGAAGCGAAAGCTGTCTCCATTAGTTTTGCTTAAACGAAATGAAATTTTCAATTAGGGGAATTTCGCAAAATTCGTTTAAAATCAGATTCGAGCTCATCGAAGTTAATTATAGTGACAATATCGAAAATTATGAACGCGATAAACGGGAATTGCGCATTCAATTCCATTTTAATAAACATTGCTCAACCGACGGCCTAAAGCATTTACAATTTGCTCTCAAATTACAATCGAGTACTGTTTAATTTTACAATAAATATTTCTTGTTTTTCCCATATATGGGGCAGGTACGGTAGGTGTAGATACTATCTATAGTTTACGCGAGTAGTACACATTTAAATAAGACACTTTAACAGTCACGTGTCTCCCCGTGACCACGGCTGCTGCTAAGCATCCGAAACGTCGGGCCGAAGTTAAAAATCATTTTCAAAAAGTTATAATATATCGCGTTTTAAACCGTTAAAATGTTTTATTTAAATGGTAACAATATAGTAATCCCAGCTGGGTTTCTCTAAACAATTTGTAATTTGTCTGACTGTTTGACTTTGTCTGGAAATCTAGCTATTGAGTGGGCGGTAAAAATATCAAAACTCCGTCCGCTTTTTTTTGGTGTGTAACGTATTATGCCCGGGGCGTCTAATACTAACAGGACGTAATTCCGTCCGCGTCACGAACCACCGTCTACAGATGAATGCCGTGTACAACCTAACAGCGACGTGTCCCATTCATACCTAAGGCATCTGATGGAGCCACAGAATATCAGTGTTGGGACATTAGTTCCAACGTAGCTGAGATGACTCCTTTTCAGAGACAACTGTATTATATTAAATAGGTAAAAAGGAAAGTCGAAAATCATTTTTTCATGTAGCTTGGTACACTTATGAACGTCAAAACAGGTAAAAATTTAAAACTCTTAATTTACAGTTACCTACCCAAGTTAGGGCGTAGATCGAACGAGAAGAACTGGCAAGAAACTCGCCGCCACTCCTTTTAATTGCCAAGTTTTTATTACATATCCTTATATTCCTAATAAGGGTCTCATTGCGTTCATTTCTTCCTTGATAGAGCGGGTTCCTCCATACCCCAAGCATTCTTATCATTTAAATATTCATTTACGTTATAATAAGTCTTTCCAACAGTTTTTGTTTAACATACGATAAACTAAACGGAAACAGGGAAAAAAAACCCTTAAAAAAATTTAAATAATCGCGAGGCGAAAAATGAGTTTAATGTTTAATTTATGTTTGCAGCTTAAAGACAGTTTCCATTCATAGAATGCATTCGGCTTAGTATCACTACATTTATATTATTTTATCAATTCAGGAGGTGTCCACAGGGAAGGCGAAAAAACCATGGATGTGTCAGCAGATCTCACAGAGCTTGGACGCAGTAGAACCCTCGTCGTTTGCAGCGGGGTCAAATCTATTCTAGATATTAGACGAACTTTGGAATTCTTGGTACGTTCATCTCTTAGTAATAACTGTTTTGTGTTATTTATTAACTTTACAATAGATTTGTAATTACGAGTATAGGCACTGAGAGACTGTACACATTTAAAAAATTGGTGTTTTGTGTGGGTGGTTTTGGAGATTATTTAGTTGATCTTTAAATCAAAATACAATTTGTTATCCAAGAATTAAAAAAACAATTTTAACTTTTAACGAGGTAAATTTATAACGTAGTAATGCGAAGGTACTGTATTCAAATTCCCTGAGAATCAATAAATTTTTTCGGACGCGCAGAGCACATAAGTCTGATAAACTACTTGCCATGTAAACGCCCCCCCCCCCCCCTTCCCCCGGCCCCCCCCCCCCCCCCCCCCCCCCCCCCACCACACCCCCCGCAAAAATTTAAAATTTTCCCAAGAGGGCCCCCATAAAATTTCCAAAAGGAAAAATTTGGATATATACATAAATAATTTGTGTCATAAGATATAAAAATAGGTAAAAATACTTTTTAAGTTAAACGGTTTTATGTTAAACATACATTGCAATGTTTAAGATAAATGTACTAAAAACCCAAAAAATAATAAAATGGATACAGTCGTGGGAATTATAAACATATGCATAGACTAGACTAAAATAAAACCGTGGGGCACATCAATTGTCTACAAATTATCGAATTAATGTGCGATAAATACTGTCTATAGTTTACGCGAGTAGTACACATTTAAATAAAACACCACAAACGGTTTGAAACGCGATATATTGGTTAAAAATCATTTCCAAATAAGTTTAACCAATATATCGCGTTTTAAACCGTTAAAGTGTTTTATTTTAATGTGCGATAGAAGAATCGTTTAATTCGTCGTTAGGCAGAACACACTACTTAACATCCATTTACAGGAGACACAAGGCGTAACTGTGTGTGCGTTTGGCGACTCGAAACAATTTCCAGCGTTTTATACCAGACGGTCTGGATACGAGGCTCCATACAACGTAGTTGATGCAGAACACGCCGCGCTCGTGCTTAGCTCGGCACGTGCTTTACAACTCTCGTCTGGCATCGTTATCGCTGTCCCTGTGCCAAAAAAATACGCAATGGATGGTAAGGAAACACAAAATGTCAGTGTAAAATGTTTATCCGCGGATTTGTTGGCATTGTAATTTCAAGTACTAGAACTAAGATAAAGAAAAAACCAAGCGAAGTTTTCGGAAAGGATGGATTCTTTTTTTCTAGCAAAAGAGGTGGATTGGGTAATTACTTAGGACAAAGAAACATACATATTTTTACATCTATAATCGGTAAAGATGGGCATTAAATTTGATAAACACATTTATTAAAATAAAACATTTTTAACGGTTTAAAACTTTAATTAAATTGATAAAAGTTTAAGCAATAATATGGTTAAAAAAGGTAAAGTATAACAGTTCTTAAAACTTCCCAAATTAGTATATCATAGTAATAAGGACATAATACATATAAAAAGATTGTAGATTCGATGTCCGGTTGTGCATCAACAATATCACACGCATTTAACCTAATAAGAAATTAATTTCTATTATAAGATTGTCCAGTGCTGCAAATTGTAAAAACACATTTTTACAGAGAAAGTTATAGACACAGCAATATCAAACGCTTTACTGGAAGCTGAAGAGAAAGGAGTGCAAGGAAAGGAGATAACGCCCTTTCTTCTAGCAGCAGTTTCTAAGGCAACAGGCGGTGCATCTCTTAACACTAGTATCCTTTTTAAATCAAGATTGTCGCTATTTAGCGGCGGTGTGTGTCAATATCTAGGTATCGTTCTTTTCGTACCGGAACAAACTCTACTCTCTGCGGCGTTCTTGAACCCCCCCCCCCCCCACTTTCAAATTCCGCGACGATAGTCAAACAGTGACGAAAATGATAGATGATGTTTTTAAAAAGTAAATTTCATTTAAAACTTGGCTTAATTCGATGGCAATTCCATACCATCTTAACTGTTTATGTAAAAGATTCTCTTCTCTTCTCTTACTCAGCCCTCAGGTCTTGAGTGATTATATCATTCTCCGTAGTACCCCATACTACGGAAAATGATGTTATCACTCAAGATTTAGCTAGATACAAACAAACTTTGTGCCACTACATGTTACAAAAATAATATAAAAAAGAAATTACAAATATGTAGCGAGAAACGTGCTTATCGCTATAAAGCGATGTCTTCCAGGCAACCTTGTTTTGAGATTTACAATAATAATTTATAATGATATCACTAAAACTATAATTTATAAGTTAATACAATGTTTTTAAATTTATAGATTAAGTAGATGTCCATTGCTATACAAGTATGTATCTCAGAGAAGACGATTTATAGGGTTTATAGGGTATTTACATTAAAATAAAATAATTAATCCGGAAAAAAAAAGAAAAAGAACTTCGGTTAAATTTATACTAATATATAAAGCTGAAGAGTCTGTTTGTTTGAATGCGCTACTCTCAGGAACTACCGGTTCGAATTAAAAAAATCTTTTTGTGTTTGTTAGAGCATTTGTCGAGGAAGGCTGTGGGCTATAAAACTTGCCCTGTGACTAATACAGCGAGAAATGTGAAAACAATTGGGATTTTTTTTTATCATTATGGGTTTCCGAGGCTCAATAAAAATATGTATGAGAGAATGATTTCTCTTCAAATGATCTGAAAAAAAATCCGCAACGCTATATGTCTATCTTTTAAGATTAACTTGCAAGAACGATGGGAAGGGACGCGACCGACGTCGTGGGTAACAGCTTAAGTTTATGAAGATGAAGGGGTTTGCAAAAATTAATTTGAATTCTCAAAATAAATATTCTAAGCGGACGTAGTCGCTGAAACAGTTAGATGTCAATAAAAAATATTTTAACTACGGCCCGACGTTTCGGATGCTTTATTTAAATGTGTATTACTCGCGTAATCTATAGATAGTATTTAATATCAAATTCGATATTTATTAACATTTCCCAAAACGCTCGAACCTGAGACCTCCCAATCTACAGTCGAGTATTAACCGGCAGCCGTACTGCTAATTGCGCTACAAAATTCCTCGCACACCGCTGTATAGTCGCGTAAATCTATTCTCGCGCATATTAATTTTGTACTAAATACCTTGTGCCTGTAATTAAATTGCATGCAAGCTTTTAATGATATTATTCGCTCCTTTTGCCTATTACCTAACGTTTTTCATATTAATATTTTATAACAAACTATTTTTAATATTTTAATGTATGGTTATATAAACAATGTGTTGCGGATTCGATTTCCCCCGAGTCCAAGATGCCCGTAAATCATTTCATTTTTATTTTTAGCTCATTAGTCATCGCTTAAAAAATTTATAACAGCAAGTGGGTAGTTGAAAAAAAAAAGAAATTTCATGGGAATCACGAACCGTATGTAAATTAAAAAATACGCATTTCCGTCTCTGTTTGCAGATTTCAATATGTATAATATGTGTAACGGTTTAAAACATGAAATATATTAGCTTAGCTCAGTTGCTGCAAAGCATCCGAGACGTCTCGCTTTACTTAACATAACTTAAAACAACTTAACTAATATATCTCGCGTTTTAAACCGTTTTAAATGTATTGATGTTATAGAATTAGAATATTATAGCAAGCTTCCATTAAACACCTTACTTGTTTGTCAAAATACTTATAAAATTAGTACATGTTTAAGCTACTTTAAACCCTAATATCTCATATATCCAGTGCATAATTAACTAATTACTAAAACGTAACTAATGGGACATCAAACGAATTTAAACGGATTTAAACCAACCATAAATATTGATATTCAAAATACTGGCAACAGTTATTAAAACAATGCATCTTTAGCAATGATGTGGAACCTTAAGTAGAACACTAAATCAATGAACTAAATATTTAAAGATATTAAATCTAATTTCCCATAATTAGCTTTTATGTACAATTAGAAACTGTGCGTTCACTGTAACAGCTGTGAAATGAGAAAGGTCACGATACTTGTAAAACAAATGGCTACAATTCCGTTCCTTAACGACTTCCAGATATTGCTCTAATAAAGAACAACGCGAAAGTAGGCGCCGATATTGCAGTTCAATATCAGAAACGGATTTACGAATTGGGAAATTCGTCTAACTTCACCGTTTCAAGGAGATTTCATACGTCAACTCGTTTGAGCTCCACCAGAGAAGAGTCTAAAGATGGCGACGTTTTGGTTATCGGCGGCGCAAACGTCGACAGAACGTATAGAATTACCGAGGAAAATGTGCAAGTAAGTGTAGTTTATCGTATTTTTCAGAAAGCTAAGCTTATAGAATTCATGTTTTAAACCGTTTTATGTGTTACATATACATTCATGTTATAGCACTAGCTGTATGTATGTATGTGTGCTATTGTACTTATGGGCATTTGAAATCTATAATCTGTTTATTAACACAAAATACACAACTTAAGTGAATAGAAAGAATGAAAAGTACAATTTTGACTTTGTGCTAAAGGGCATAAATAAGTTGACTAAGAAATTTCTCGTTTTATATCGTTAAAAGTGTTTTATTTAAATAGTAAGTGTATATCTGTTTTGAAGGTTCCGTAACCAAACGGTATAAGGAAACACAAGGACAATATCATAACTCTTATCACTGTTACAAGAAATACTAAAGTTGAAAAATAATGAACAAAAACAAATAACAAACATAGTGTATAATAGTTTTTCAGATAACGGTTTACTAAGAGAGTGGAAGACTTACATGACGAATCTAAGACTCACGCCTAGTTGGTTTTATTTGATTAATCGAAGCCCCTTTTCTAGATATCTTTTTTTTTTTATTTTTACCGCCGTCAAACAACGCCAACTAGGGCACATAACTCTGCTTAACTACTGACCTGTAAATAAAACTGTTAAAATCTAAATTCACTTAATTTATTCCACTGTTATGTACTTACGAGATGATATGAAAAATCTGTTTATATTGAAATCAATTGACGACAAGTAGCTCAATTGGTCAGGGTAGCAGCACGGAATTTTCTAAATGTTGCCTTAAAACGTGTAATTTTTTTCAATCTTAATAAATTTCAATGTGAAAATGTTCAAGTTTTCAAAGATAATATCAAATAAATTACTAGTGAAAAGGACACATACGCTGCCCGAGGGATAAAACAAGAGGCCGCACCAAAAATAATTACTATAGACTATAGACTGTAGAGGTAAGTCACGAATATAGTGAAGTGTGTGTCTTGTTTGATGCCGTGTTGTTTCAGCTGCCACAAAGAAAGAATGTCTTCTAAGAGTTCTTTGCTACGAGACCTCTCGAGCCCTGTTGTGGCAAACACAGTCTCGTGTTAACATCTTAAGATTATTTACAAAGCTTGCCGATAGTGCTTCTACAGATTGTATAGTAGCTACATCTAGCTGGAAATAGATTTTTAACAAGAAAGCAAAATATTAAAATTTGTTATCTATACTAATATTATAAAGCTGAATAGTTTGTTTGAACGCGCTAATCGCAGGAGCTACTGGTTCGAATTAAAAATGTTTGTGTTTATAGAGCATTTATCCGCAATAAGACATCAGGCGGTGACGTATAGGCTCGAAGAAATAGCGGGAAATGTGGAAAAAGGCATGGGAAATTATTTATCCTTGGGGCTTCCATTTAGTGCACTTTAAAAACGGTTTAAGAAACCAAAAAATATGTATGAAAGAATACTATACTATACTATACTTAGTTATATTGCTTAAAGTTCACGCGGTTAAATAAGCTACAACATTTGATATGCTTGTAATGACGAAACAAAACGTCCGTCGTAACTGAGAAATGGCTGTGGAAGCTATTTCTCAGTTACGACGGACGAACAGCTGGAAAAATCAAGTAGCTTTTATTAAAATTAAACATTAAGTACTTTAATTTTTTTCATTATTTATTTATTGATGCTGAACGTTATTTTTCGTTATATGGATTGAAAATTTATCTAAAACATTTCTTTTCATTATGGAATTTAGGACGGACACATTTCTGTCTCTCTTTCACAGATTGATTTTACAAGTAGTCGGTACTTGTACACTAATAACCGAAAGTATTGATTATATTCCGCGAGATTCGAACTTAGGAACGAGAAATAACTTTGAACTTACTAAGAAATACATTTAACTGCAACTGGCACTAAGCAATATACTACTTTAATCTAATATATAAAATTATTCTGTCTGTTTTTTGTCGCAAACTCCTCCAAAAGGGCGAAGCCGATCTCAATCAAATTTTGTATATTTCATCGTTAAGCCTTAATTTAGTCGTATTTTATCGATTCTTTATTATATTTCTATAAATGAGTTACAGTTTGCCGGCTTAGCCGGTTTTGCGGTAATTGCGATATTCTATAGATATGGTTTAGGGATGAAGTCAAGAAATAAAATAATACAGTTTAACAAACTTTAATTAATGCATTTATTATGATAGTAATATTAGCTCTCAGTCGCCTAGTGCGTACCTTCGGAAAGTTGTAACAACTCTACATTAAGAATTTTATATATCTGTTAAATTATCAATACACAAATACAGTTGAATAACAATCATAAACGTAATTTCAAAATCGTATTTAGGTAATACATAGTGGATCCAGGATTTGTACGGTACGAACGGTAGTAGAGTTAAGCCGCTTTGGGTTTTCAAGCTGTTCGGGCGTCGTAATTGAGAAGTGCTAGTGTTACCTTAATCGAGAAACCCAAAAAAATAGCTCGAAAACCCAAGTAGCTTTACTAACCGCTGCGAATGCATTTTACAATTGTTAATAACGTTAGTAATAATATATTTTTATTTATAAAAATATTTTTTTTTTTAAACGTAAACTACATATTTCGTAACAAGGTTTCACAAACCAAGGCACATTTAACGTTTTGGAAGAGTTGGAAAATATAGATTTGATCCTAACTACAAATTATTCAACTTTCCGATTTTAGGTACAAATTTTTAAAAGATTGGTACATTCAGTGACAACAATATTAAAAAACTATTTATCTGCATAAAATCAGAAAATATTATCCCCTACACTAAGCGAACAAAATGATTTTCATACTCGTTACAATATCTAGAAAGTTACATTAAGATATATTAGTACAAACGTGTAATTCAATTTGTATGTAACTTTACATACACTGTCGCGCCTAATTTTGCGATAAACATACAGAATATTTTTAGCTTAGATTATCTTGGAGTTCCCTCGATGGAATGTGAAACACTTCAGCCAAACAACATCTAAACAAGACATGCTGTATTTATGTATTTACGTATTTCGGTTTTGAACATTCAGAAATCCACACACTGAAACCGAACGAATTTATTGAACGGTGGTATCACCCACTGAAATTCAGATTTTACAGACAAAGTCTAACACGTTTCAAATTGTGTAAATTTTAGAAACATGTAAATTTGGAGGACCTACGACCCGTTGATTATTATCTGTGATATCGCAAAATAGGCGCAACTTCAACCCCGGTTAGAAACATTTAATTACGTATAACTTGTACGGAGGCGGGAGAACAAGACAACACGATGTATACGAGTATATAGTTGAATATGAACATGTAAATGTTGATTTGGTTCGCTATAAAATCTTCGTTTCAAAATTTTTGTGGTCTAAATATAGTTTTTTATTCGGGTACCTAATAGCTATCGACACTGTATAAACAACGGTTCTGTGTGTGTTGATTGAACTCGCATATTTTAATTGCGTCAGAATTTGTAACTTTGAAAATTTATAGGCCAAGAACCTACAGGCGCCGCACAGACTATATTAGATCTTAACTTCGCAAGTTTCTGTGTATCTATATTGACGGTATACAGGATTTAAAATGTCAGGATTCTTCGCTCTTGCTTCACTCAACAATTCCGACGCAATTAAATAGAATTTTTATTATATTGGAAGTAACGGACCATAGCATGTACATTGATACAAAATCAGTACTAGGTTTAAATTTTCTAATCAATATTTATTCTCTATTTAATTTTATATAGCCTCTAACGGATCCGCAATTCCAACAAATAATTCGTCAATCCGAACGCCACCCGTAGAACAGGAATTGTTTTTGACATTAAAAAAAAAAGGTTATAAAGATACTGGCCGTAAATAAAATTTTGTAAAGTCGCTTCTGTTCAAGCATTTTGTTATCGTAGGCACTACGTCATATAAGCTCATATCAGTATTATTTTTGTTTAATCTGTCCATGCAATGTTACTTCTACTAGTGTTACATACAATATATCCTATTATTTACATTCAACGATATCTTACGAGACGCCACCGAGGAATTTCTATTAAACATGTTGTAAATGTATTCTCTTTGAAAGTGTATACGGGAGAAGCCCCAGTAGATCATCACTTCAAAATTCCATGAGTTTGCAGCCGCCATGTGTCATTTATAAAGCGAAAAGTATCAGTTGATTTCTACTGTTGTAAGCAACACAAACCGGTTTTATCGGACGAAAAACACGAAACAACATTATTGAATAAAAGTTAGTATTAGAAAACTTTTTAAATATCATTGAGACGAAAAATTTTCCTTTTTACATTCATGACAACGAGACCTGAAATTACTACGGGAAATACAGCGAAGAAAGAATAACAATAAGAAGTAAATAGTATTTACGTCTAACACTATGTTACAATTAAATCTCTCAAAGGATATTGGAATGTAATTAATATTAAATTAAAAATCAAATTAATTTACACTGAAATAAAGTGGACCCGTGGTACTCCGGCCTCTAACTTATCCGAACCTCTTTTAATCCGATATTACATCTACTTATTAGTATTAAACATACCTTTTAAAGTTACTGACAATACATACAACAAAATACAACATGTACGTATAACGTTGAAATTATAAACGGAATCTATTGATTTATTTGTCGGATTAGAAGATAGTCTTACAAAAAAAATCAGACTATAGAGGTTCTTATGCAATGCTCTTCAATTCGACTCTTTGATCCGAGCTTTGCGAATTAATTATCGAGTTACCGGGGTCCACTATATTTATACTACTTAATGTCTCTTACATGCGAAATGTCACTAATTCACATTTGCACTTGATGTTTTCTTTCTTAAAACATCGCTCAATGATTTAAAAAGTACTCCACATTGGCTACGCTTTTAAACTTTATCCGAAATAACTGTACTGCCAAGCATAGGAACTAAACACAAGCTTTGCTCGTGGTTCGTGGTTTACTCGTCGACACTAAAACAGTTTTTAAACTCTAGGATGCTTCTAATGAATTTCTACAACATCGAAAAACATCCTGCAATAGTCCGTAACACGCTAAAACATGAAATGGATACACATATTATTCACGACGAGTTGACGCTATCTGAACAGCTGTGTGGCTATGGGATTTAAAGTTCGAACTCGGAGCGCGTGTGGCGGCGGTGGTCCAGACGGACGCGCGCAGCCGAGCCGCGCATGCCCGCGGACGCGCTGCGCGCTCGCCCGGGCTCCACCTCGAAGCCCGCGGCCGGGTAGGAACGCCACCGCCGCCCAAACAACCGCTCCAGGTAACATCTTAGTCAGATTCTAGTCGCTGCACTATCTGCTGCTAGGGGCCTGTAGTCTCCGCGCGCAAGCTCTCGCATCTCGCAATTGTTATTCCCATTCACAGTTTTCGGGCCTAACGTGTCTTCGTGGATACTTCGTCTCGAACACGGTTCCGAAGCCCGTCCCAACAGCGCCTCTCTTTCGCTCGCTCTCTCCGGACTCCCGCCGTGGGCGCGGACACCTCCGTTTGCGTTCACGGCGTTCACGACTATCGTCTGTGACAAAGGGCCTCCGTGTAATGGACTGCCATCCAGAAGCTCGCCCGCACCCAACTCGCTTCGTAGTATTCTGATTTTTTGAATCATTTCTTTGATTTCACATCTAAGAATTCCCAAGAAACAAAATTTTAAGAACGCTATCACACAATAACCTAAAACGAATAAAGCATCCGCCGTTTTCCTGAGCCAAGTCAGCAAACGTTCTGCGCAAGCTGCGGTGTGAGGTATGCAATGGACCGGTGTGAATGATACGGGAGACGTGGCAGTCGTCGATAACGAGATCGGCGTTACGGCCGGTGAATGCGCAGGTATTCGACAGCAACTCGGAGGTAAAACAGTTCTATTCAAATTTGCAAAATCTGACGGCCCCGTAACGCCACAACAGCTCTGTTCTCTTTGAAGGCGATCCCAAGCTTCTGAGAAATCGACGTCGTTATCGTAATCCTTCGCTAGCCGTATACGTAATTGCGGTCGCAGTTCTCGACAAACGCGTTCAAAACGGAAGACCCAGTAGACGCCGATGGCGGCGTCGCCTACCAGCAGAGCTAGTAATGCTAGCCAATAAGCGTTCAACATGCGTTCAGAGAGACGTAGGGCCGCCAGGCAGCCGAGTAGTTGTAGAAGGCCCGCTTGGACCGGTAACGCTGCGTAACCGTAGAGGAAGCCCGGTTGAGCGGCTCCCAAGCCAGGTACCAGACCACGCCTGTAGTCAGCCAGAGCGCGTCCTGCTGCAGCGCAGAATGCCAGCGCTCCGAGCAGCAGAGCCCCGTTACACGCGTATATCCAGATGCGGTAGTAGCGCATTGCGCGGTGCGCGGCGGGGTAGTGCGCGGGGCGCGCGGGCGGCGGCAACGTCATGGTGGGGGGCGCCGCGTCATGCCGCCGCCCGCGCACGCGTCGCCGCCACACGACGCGCCCCACGCCTCTGAAACAATATTCGATTCTTAAAAAAAATAATAATTAAGGTAAAAAAAATAAATAAGATATTTAACTTTAACACGAAAAAAATTGTGGTGAAATTATAAGGCCATATACAATATAATCAATACTGTCTACGTATACTATCACTCAGAAACGTGATTTGTTGCCTTATGAGTATCGGTATAAGATTAATTACTTTAATCTTCTAGACCGACGATTCAACACGAGTCACATTTGTCTGCACTAGCGAGATTTATCGGAGCGCGCAATAAAGCAAAATCTCACTAGTCGACTTCATGTTTTATTTATTTGAAACTACCAATACGATTAAAGTACAGACTATATTGGGAATATAAAACAATCATTTAGTTCTAATAGTGGAATTAAAGATATTACAAAAAATTACTTATAAAGAGCAAAAATCTTTCAAGCACGACCTGCTAAGCCGTAGCTCGTAGACTCCCGTAGCAGTGTTCCTGTGTTTCAGTTACGAGGAAATTCTTATTCGGCTTAACATCCGGTTCGACTCTTTGCCGAAGCCGAAGTTGGACTATATTGGATATTTTGATCAACGTTGGCGGCATAGTTAAAAGGAAGAATAAACTCAGTTGTTGCTTAAGCCGAAAATCGTTTATGGAGCAGAAAGAAGTGTTAAAAAAATTATTTTGACATCTGTTATTTTTGACATTGCTCTGCCGTGCTCGTTGTCGTTGAATTAAACTCGTTTAGAGGTAAACACATTCACATCCTAAGTGAAGTATACTGATGTAACTACTCAAAATCTTGATGTAATACTGACATCCTTCACGTTTGATAAACTGGACATCTCTAGTACTAGGCAGCGTTTAACCACTGAGCTACGGAAGCGATCAGCGTAATAATAGAATTATTTTAATTTCTTGTTGACATATATCGCTTCCTTATAAAACACGTTTATACGCGTTATAAAATATAATAACCCACTTACACAACGTCGTATCGAATATTTATTACTTTTCCGAACAACAACGTTAAGAAGGATGAGGGCGTCGTTACGATTCCAACTTCTTGAAAATAAATAGCATTTTTATTAGTTTTATAAGTTACTTACCGTGCTGTGCCGTATTACGTATTTAATATTTATAAGGCAGTTCTTAAAATAGTGCTTTAAATTGTTAGTACCTCTATTATTTTTGCTTAAAAATGCATGAAAACTATTTTTACAGCTTTAGGTATATACCTAACTATATATTGAGGTAGGTATACCCAGACTGTTACTAAATACAATTACACTTTACGGCTTTTCATCGGTGGTTCGTGAACCAAACGGAATTTCAATATTCCTTACCCACCCGTAATACGCACATTTCCAGACCAAGTCCAACATAAATTGTGTAAGGCTTTTGCGGCCATCGTTTAGCATATCATTGTCTTTCGGGCTGTTTGGCCGATGTGAGCGAGAAGAGGTTCTCGACGTTTCACCATCACGTGTGGACGGCATCATCAGGAGATGTTGACTCCTCGATTGCTCCAAGAATTCATTCTTCGAGCAATCGAGGAATCTTAGAAAAACGATAAATTGACTAGAAAAATGTTTGACTCAGTGGGAATCGAATCCACGGCCCGTTGATTATTATACATTACTACCATTGGACCATTGACCCCGTCAAAATTAATATTAATCGTGAAATAAAGTAATTCAAATGAAATCGATCGTCTCAATTCCTTTCAGGGATTTTATTTAGTGTGTTAATAAACTACTGAAAATTGTGTCGTATGCATAACAGCAGGTACTGATTTTGTGTATGCATGTGTTATGTTTGTATGTATATCTTACAATCCGCCGCCCGTGCCTTGCGCTCGAAGCCTCGCTAGTCAGAGGAGGGGACGCACGATGCTTTGTAGGGCACCTACAAGCTCTGTACGGTTTCTGAAACAACAAACACGGCGTTAAGGCTTTATAGATATTATATTTATTCTCTTGTTGACATAGCCACGAACATAGTCGTACAAAATTAATTTCTTATTTAATAAATAGATGGCATTGTACAATGTCGAATCACACATGTATTATTATAAGTGCTTTTCACAAAAAATCCCTAAAATCCGTTTAGGAGGTCAATAGATTAGCGTGTCCACACAGACGAAAAATATTTGTTTTTTCAACTTATCGAGATCATTCACAAACTCTTGATATTAAATGTAAAGTCAAATTGAATCTATTGTTTGTCACATAGCATATACATACATATATATTGGTAGCTACGCAGCGTTTAATTATTAAATAAGACACCTTGAACGGCTTAAAACGAAAAATATATTTACACGACACTTTAGCTCACTTGATTAGAGCAACAGCACGGAACCCTGTGATTGCCGGTTCAAGGCCTGGCCGTGTCGTATTTATTTTTCAATCTAAAATCGATTTTTAATGTATATTACACAATTGTCACAAAGACCCGACGTTTCACAAAACTGTACGCGGCTGCAAAGCCTCGAAATTGTCGGGTAGTTAACTAACTTACCTTATATATTTCGCGTTTTAAATCGTTGAAAAAGTTTTCTTTAAAATATTTGCCGTAAACTAGAGCCATAATACCTAATGATTACCATATAGCTATAGAGAGCACAACGACCTTGTTTCTTACCCTTACCCTTAGGGCCATCTAAAAATACCACTCGACAATATACGTATAGCAGCGGCGGGAGATACTTGACATTCAAGCTTCGCGGCTGGCATTAAATTCGCTACTGGGCGGAAATTTATTTCAGCTCTATATTAGTCGACAGACTATTGAAAACTTTCCCCTTCCTATATATAGGGACAGACATTAAATTGTTTTTAAGAGATCCACCACAGACTTCGTTCAAGAGATAACCTTGAACGGAGTCTGTGGTGTGTAGTAAATAGGAAATATGTATCTGGAACTGGCCAAATTAGAATTATAATAAATTTAGCTAATATCACGTTTAAAACCGTTAAAGTGTACTATTTAAATAATAACGAATCGCGTAGACTACAGATAGTATTAAATTCGTACGTTGTTGAATGAAAAGAAGGTATTCACTTTTTATTGGAAAACTTTAGCATCGTGAAGGTCGGAATTGTTTCAATGTTTATATATAACATGTTTAGCTTATTAAAAACAGACAGGTTGAACATTTTCTAACTTAAAGCTAGCGTGGGGTGATCGTTAGTTCGACTCCCACCTATGTTACGAGTATACTTAGAGTCTTAACTATTTTCCTTATTAAAATCAAAGTATGTTGTATGTCTCTAGGACTTTATATATATTTATTTCTTTGTCAGTTTGTCAGACAAGACAAGAAACTTTTGTTTCCTGGGATTTGAACCCAAGATTTATTACACGATTAGTTGAGTCATTGAGTAACAGAGACGGTTAGTCTGTTAGATATAGACACAACTTCCTGTATTATCAACATAAAAAGCTCGTACAAGAATAATATTATATTATTAAAGACTATAATCAATTTATGACAATCTAAACAATCAATTACTAAACAGGTTCCATGTAATACGCAATGAAAAAGTCTTTGTTATTGCTTCCGTTCTTGGAATCCGATTCATAATACGAATCTATTCAAATTACTTTTGTTTTACATGTCTATATAATGAATGAATATCTTTCAATTTTAATTTCCTCCCGAGAATATTATTTTGTTGTTTCTTATTACTGTTTTAGAGCTAAATATAAATAACGAATTGTATCTGTAATTATTGCAAATGGTATCATGTAATTAAATATTTTTTACAGTTTAAAACACATTTTATATGCTTTTATAAAAATTCCTTCAACCGACTATATCGTCTCCTCCTTTTTTAGAGGGCAGAAAAGCTACTTGAGTACTAGAGTTCTATTTGAAGGATGTTGAAATACCCAAGCCATATAACATCACGATGAGATGGGCTGTGGACCAAAATAATTTGAACACTTGTAAATAATTTAAAAATCGAAAATAAATTGAAAAAAATTTCGACTTGGAACTTCAACCGGCATCGTCAGCGTTCCGTGCTGTTGCTTGCCAATTGAGCTACCAGGACTCGGTATGATTTATTTTCGATTTTTAAATTATAAAGTGCCTTTATGTGCAATAACATGTGAAAAATAATAAAGTTTTCAAACACGATTAAACTTCAAAACTTTTCATATAGGAACGATGGTTCGTGACCCGGAATTTCAATATTCTTACCACGCATTTAAAGTACAGATTCTTCTGACGAAGTACTTGTTTTGGAAAAAATATAAATTCATTTAAATAAAACACTTTAACGGTTTAAAACGCGATATATTGGTTAAACTTATTTGAAAATGATTTTTACCTTCGGCCCGACGTTTCCGAATAAGTTTTACTAATATATCGCGTTTTAAACCGTTAAAGTCTTTTTACATAAATGTGTACTACTCGCGTAAACTGTAGACCGTATTTAATATACATTCATTTAAATCATGTTGGACCGGGTGGATATCAAATCCACGATCCAATCATTAATAACAATACCATTAGACCAATGAGCCTGTCAAATTATACAGATATAATAAACGACAATGAGAACAGATTTCTGTCTCTATTTCAAAGACTGGTTTTACTCGTTGTAGATAACATTTATATTTTTAACAGCCAACATAAATAGATTTTTACTTGTACATAAATTACGTTAATATAATTTCTATACAAAAGATATCCATGTAGTAATAGTTTTATAATACAACACCAAGCGAATTTCTACCCAATCTGTGAATTTCGCAAACGCCCGAATATACCCGTATTCGTTATGACTAGGTAAATCTCAGCCAACTTTTGTTGAAGTTTAAGCATTAGCTAGCTGAGAGCTGTATTTATTTTCCTACCTTCATTTAATACAATTCTGAGCTCTCGCTGTCGCGAGAAGTGTTCCCGTGTTTTGACATTTTCTTTATTGATTGGCAACATTAAATGTGATGAGGGTAGGCAATTCAATGCGGCGCCATTATTGGAAATATTGGCGTACAAATCTCTAAGAATGCCGACCTATCACGAACATTTGCAACGAAGTAATAAAACACTGACACAATAGGCATATTGTAACCGGAAGAGGAGCTGGAGCTTTAGCTGTTACAGTAGAAAATATTTTTTGATTAAAAAACAACTAATCTAAACGAGATGCGCTATCGGCCTATTTTGTCTTTGAACATTTGGAATTGAAATTCCACAGACTGAAACCGACCCGTTCGTGAAGAGAAAAAATATTCATTTGTTTCTACTACCAATTTAACGTCCAGATTTCCAAAAGTTATATGATGTTGGACACGATGGAAATAGAACTCAAAACCCTTTATTATCAGACTTACATTGCCTCACTTACGGGGCATGACAGTAGCAATATTACCGTCTGAATTAATCGGATATTATAATTTATATGTATGCAAATGGCAATGTAATTTAAACCTTACACAATTGAATACTGTCTATAGTTTACGCGAGTAGTACACATTTAAAAAAAAACAATTTAACGGTTTAAAACGCCGGGGAGACTTCCCGTGACCACGGCTGCTGCAAAGCATCCGAAACGTCGAGCCGAAGTTAAAAATCATTTTCAAATCAGTTTAACTAATATATCGCGTTTTAAACCGTTAAAGTGTTTTATTTAAATACTTACACAATTGAAACAAGGTCTGAAGTGCAACATGTGAAAACTATATGGTTTCAAATACTTATAATTTCAACTATAGCGTAGTTTAAGCCGTTATGTACGAAAATATTTTGACTCGACGATAGAATCACAGAAATAATACAGCGCGCTTGTACGCCGCTGAGATCTAGGTCTCCAAGTATCGCAACTGCTTGAACTACAAACAATTTCCAAACAAACTTACTCTGAATTCCAAACGGAGTCATCTGAAAAGCAGAAATTGAATGGATGCTTTGAATAAAGCGCTCGAATTTTTATTTCTAACATTTATTGCGACGTTTCACGGAAATTGTCTTTGACGATATTAATTTTAGTGCGTATTCACGGTACATTCCCGGATATTTTAGACAAACGTCACCTACTAGGAACTCATCCATCGTAAAAATCTAGTGTTAAATTTGTTGCAGGATGTCTGTACGGAGATACTCGGTACGTAAGCATTTTCAATTTAATTTAAAAATCGAAAATAAATTGAACGCTGACGATGCCGGTTCAAGTCCTGCCCTAGTCGAAATTTTTTTTCTCAATTTATTTTCGATTTTTACATTATATAGTACCTTCATGTGCAATAATAAAGTTTTCAAACTCACAAAAAAAGACGTTCCATATAAAAACTTTTGACCGTCTCTGTAGCTAAATGGTTAGACGTGTTGCCTAGCATTGTGTTAAACGCAAGAGGTCTTGGCTTCGAATCTCGGGGAAACAGTAGTTTCGGTCGGGCAGGACACAGAAGTCTGATCAACTACTTGCCAGTAAATAAAACCGATCAGAATGAAACGGACACAGAAATGTGTCCGCCCCAAAAGGAAACGGGATTTCACTATATATAAAAACTTTATGTTATTAGCTATTTTATTACTAAATGGTAATTGAGTTAAAACTGTTACAGTAGCACATAATACATACGTACAAAATACTTCTGCATTCTAAACACACTTTGAATCATCTATTTTTTTCACCTTAGGCAAATAAATCTTTTACTGAAATAGAAAAATAAAACCGTTGCGAACATTACCGTAATATGTTGACGATTCTAAAGTAGTCGAAGGGACATTCATATGTGCTCCAATGACAAAGAGAAAATTTCATAAGACCAGCGTCGCCACGTACTAGACAATACGATGTCTAGTTTTAAAAGGATCGTAAATTTTAATAGATTCGAGTGATAAAAGAATCCGCGAACTAGACACTGGTTCCGTAGGAACGATCTACCATAACAGTCCCCACTGGCTCGCGTCCAAATATCCAAACCCTTTGATAACCACCTTTCAATCTACGCCGAAGCTAGATTAAAAACTCGATCTGAAATTGAGTCGAAATCGTAACTGGTATTCCAATTCAATTTCCTTTGCGAATATGGAGTCGCATGAAAAATATTGAAACTTTTAGTAGAGTGGGTTTCTTTAATAAACGAGAATGAGAAATGTAATTTTGTCATCTGCTACCAAAACGATTTCCAGTACAATAATATTGTGAAACGTATACAAAGTGTATTCTTATTTAGGTGAAAGAGAGAGAAAGAAATACGTTTATTGACTCCTACTATAAGGAACACAAAAACATATATGAGACTTATTATTACACAAAATAAATCATAATTTAATCTTAAAGTATAACTTCATATTAATAGAATAAAATAGGTCTTCCAGAGTATTAAATAAAACGCCTTTGAATGGTTACAAACGAAAAATTTTTTTTTTTTTCATAGCAGCTGTGACAGAGTCCTAATTAATTGACAATTGTTCAAAAGCGTTCTATTTGTTATGTTTTTCTGAAAAACGTACATAAATGTGAAATATCAAATAGAGAATTCAGAGATACTGTCACACGTGAAAGGTATATCTACTATCTGTGTATAGGTAGCGGAAGAGTAGAAATTCGTCAATTTGCTAAAAGCATTTCGATTCGCTTCATCGCTCGTCCCTCAAGTGAATTTCCCTGCAATCCACTTTATCATACAAAGCTCTACACATA